GGATCCAACTACCTGTTACCTAATGCGCATAGATACAACCACCTGGTGACCAATGCGCATGGTTACAACCACCTGGTACCTACTGCGCATGAACACAACCATCTAGAACTCACTGCGCATGGATATCATCTGGTAACCACTGCGCATGGATCCAAACACGTGGTGCCTAATGCGCTTAGATACAACCATCTGGTATCCACTGCGCATGGATCCAATCACCTGGCACTCACTGGGCATGGATTTAATCTGGTAAACACTGCGCGTGGATCCAACCACCAGGTGCCTAATGCGCATAGATACAACCACCAGGGGGTCCTGGTGACCACTGCGCATGGTTACAAGCACCTGGTACCTACTGCGCATGGACACAACCATCTAAAACTCATTGCACACGGATATCATCTGGTAACCACTGCGCATGGATCCAAACACCTGGTACCTAATGTGCTTTGATACAACCACCTGGTGCACACTGCGCATGGTAACAACCACCTGGTACATATTGTGCATGGAAACAACCATCTTGCACTCACTGCGCATGGATCCAACCACCTGGTGCTCACTCTGTATTGTTAAAACCACCTGGTACCTACTGCGCATGGACACAACCATCTGGCACTCACTGCGCATGGATATCATCTGGTACACACTGCAAAATAACACAATCATCTAGCGCATACATGATTAAATAAAATTTAAATATTTTATACTGTTTTTATTATGTAGCAGTGTAATAAATTTTATTAAATGGAATTCAGAATTTCATTGAATGAAATTCATAATTTCATTGAATGGAATTCATAATTTCATTGAATGAAATACATAATTTCATTGAATGAAATACGTAATTTCATTGAATGGAATGCACAATTTCATTGAATGAAATACCTAATTTCATTGAATGAAATTCGTAATTTCATTGAATGGAATGCAGAATTTCATTGAATGAAATTCATAATTTCATTGAATGGATTGCACAATTTCATTGAATGGAATTCATAATTTCATTGAATGAAATTCGTAATTTCATTGAATGGAATGCAAAATTTCATTGAATGAAATTCGTAATTTCATTGAATGAAATTCGTAATTTCATTGAATGAAATTCGTAATTTCATTGAATGAAATTCGTAATTTCATTGAATGAAATTCGTAATTTCATTGAATGAAATTATGAATTTCATTCAATGAAATTGTGCATTCCATTCAATGAAATTACGAATTTCATTCAATGAAATTATGTATTTCATTCAATGAAATTGTGCATTCCATTCAATGAAATTTGATTGAATGCAATTCGGAATTTCAATGAAAGAAATTCAACTTGCTAATTTTTAAAAAATGGAGAACGCAAACATAATTTTTGTTTTTTATTCTTTAAAATTAGGAATGGTTAATTCAAATCATTCAATGAAATAACGTAAGTAAATTTTAATGATTGAAATAGACTCTGTTAATTTTAAACATTAAAATTAATGGATAGTTTTCTTTACCAAATATTTTAATTCAAACATTGAAATACAGCGAATTTCTTACTTTAAAATTGCCTTTGCATCTAGCATAAATTTCAAACAATAAAATAAAACAAATTTACATGAACAATTCATTTTTATCTTTGTGTGGAATTAGTAATTACAATTATTAAAAATACTACGATTACTTCGTTTAAAAGAAACTTTTAAATTAAATGAATTTAAATGTTTGAAATTAATGCGGGATACACCGGTATTTTCATTAATAGTTTTAACGCCAACTGTTATTTCATTCATTTAAATTCGTCCAATATATAAGACTTGTTAATAAAAGAAACTAGGGAGTATAAAAAACGTTTTTTTTTTAAGTTAAAATGCTCAAAACTCAGTTGCCATTGGTCGAACATCTGAAACCATATTTAAATAAACCAATCCGCATAAATAAATTTTATTGATTGAAATTGACGCTGTTAATTTCAAACATTAAAATTAGTGTTTAATTTTCTTTACCAAACAGTTTAATTCAAACATTTTAATACAGCGAATTTCAAACTTTGAAATTACTTTTGCATCTAGCATGAATTTCAAACAATGAAATAACGCGAATTTACAAGTTAGTTGAATTTTTTGGTTACTTTTTATCTGGTTGATTAAATGATAAAACGGCGTTCCATAATAAACCATGACAAATACGAATAATGTAGAAATAATATGTCAATTTTGAAACTTTTAATTCAGTTGGTAGTCCTGTTGTAATTATTAGTATTTTGACAGTTAATTTACCTACGAATATCCTGGAATAAAGATGATGTTATGCGAAATAAGGTAACAATAATTTTTTCTACTTAAGATTCGCAATTGCGTATCACAATAAGTAACATTATGACAGGCATTTGCGTTTAATAGCTCATTACGTTATTTTTTTTTAAATATTGGTAACAAGATGTCATTTTTATTGAAAACGTCAATTAGCAATGCTGTGTTGCAGTGTTGCCAGAAATGCAGAATTTTCTTCAATATGCAGAATTTTAGCCTACATCGAGAGCTAATGAAGAAAAGAAGAATATTTTACAAAAACCACTACAATATGAAGAATTTTTTAAAGTCACATGTTTTTTTTTTCATTTTTAATTTTTTTTTAATTTTCTAGATTATTTAATTCTTTAACTCGATTTTAACACTGTAATATGATTTAAAATTTAAATTTTAAATGTAATTATTTTATTCATTTCGTATGCATTCTGACATATCTCGGTAAAATGGTATAATACTCTAATTGCATCACTGGTGCTACACCAGGGAAGCCCCGAATTTTAATATATATGATTGGTATAAAAAAGATATATTTATTTTATTTATAATTTATAAATCATAACTCCATAAAATATAATATACCTACTATATTATAAATTATAATATACCTAGTAGGTATATTATATTTTATTGTATTAGAGATTTATTTAAAAATGAGTTTAAGTGAAGAAGATTCTCAAGGGTAAATATTACAATTTTAAATATGTATGCATATTTATTAATTAATATGAGTGCCTTTGTCACAGCAAATAATAATTAAGTATTTTGTATCTTATTTTAAGATTTTCCAAAATCCTCGAACAGGGTGGCTCTGTGAAGTTCCAAGTGAAGAGACAAAATTTGAATGTCGATGGTGTAATGCAATACTTTATAAGGGTGTTTTCAATAATGAATGATGTGAAAACAAAATAACAAAAAGAAAATACATTGAATTCATAGATTAATTTCCTTTGCGTATTGCGTACCCATTTTAAAGATTCAGGTACAAATTCTGCAAAAATGTCTGTCACCAAAAAACATTTAGATTTAATGAAATTAAATAAATTATTTAATTTCTAAATCATGGTGTATAGTTTTTTGTTCTGCCTATAAAATTAATTCATTTTCTTTAATTTGTAATACTTAATCTCCTGTTTACCTTAAAAGGTTTTAAAAATATTTTTTTTATTATTATTAAGTACCTAATCAAGTCAGAAGGTTTTTTATCTAATGACGTTTTACATATCTGCAGAAATATGAAGAATTTTTAAGGTTAAATTGAAGAAAATTGGTATAAAGAATCTGGCAACACTGCTGTGTTGCCAGATCAGGGCTTTAGATTTAAGGTTTTAGAATGAAGAAGTTCATGAACTTTGAAATATTTTCTCTATGCATAACCAAAATTGATTGCATTGATTAAAACAAACTAAGCTAGCTATAGCTATATATATAAATCTAATTGTGGTTATGTATAAATTATTGTAGGTTACATTGTGCAGTTGTCAAGTTGAGTTGTCGAAATTCGTAGTTAAAAATGCAATTAATTTGGCTTTGGTGGTGCTTTGATGAGTAAAATCATATAAAAAAGTGGTTAAATATAGGTTGCTTTACGGCCCAGAAGAGAAAGTGTTCCTAGCGGATAATAATCTTCGCTTTGAAAAGAATTTATGTAAAAGAAATTAAATTTTTTGTGAACGTAAATGTTGTCCAATGGTGAATAATGTGAAAATACTGGTTTATTAATATTTGTAAAACCAAAAACGTTACTTTTTTACTCCAAAAATGTCCATAAGGCGATGTACTTTTTCTGCCATTGAGGCATTTGGCATAACTTCATCAAAATGTAGTTTTGTCCTTAAAAGTTCTTTTACTTTAGAATTTGATATTATTTTTGGCATATATATAGTTATCTTTTTATATCGATATTATATAATATAATAATTAACAAGTAATTATTAACAAGTAAATTATCAATAATAAATATTACTGTCAATTGGACAATGACAGAGTATTTAATTAAGGCAGAAGTACCTACCATTTTTTTTAAACTAAAAATACTAAATTAAACTGGCATAAGCTACCAACTTAATAAAAAAAAACGTGAGTCCAAATTTAAAAAAATGAACTGTAGGTATAGCATTTACTTAGGCCCCCTTATACTCTTAAACAGAGCAGATGCTTCCAAAAATAAAGAGAAAGTACTTAAATATTGACTTGACCAAATTACTAAGAAAGTCTTATTTCTTATATTTAATTTTCACAGACAATTTAACCCATATTTCGACTTATTCAATTAATAGGTAACATATGCAATCATTTGACCGAACGATCGCACCAAAAAGGGTTTTCTTTGTTTACCACATGTAAATCCATTACACAGAATTTAACGCTAACGGATGTGATATTTGATACCACCTATTTTATGAATGCATTAAAATATATGTTACCTACCTGCCTTGTGTACCAAGGGATGTGTGTGTTTTAGAGTGATTTGTTAGTTGTTGCTTATTTAATGTAGTTTAATTTTTGATAAAAAACATTTATAAACCAGTATTATCGATTTGTAATCTGAGTTGCCTACCTACATTCGTTCGATAGAGACAAAAAATTACGCTCTGAAATTTTAAACTTACAAACCATCGTACCAAGAACAACACAAACTGCCCGCTCACCCTACGTATTTTATCCAACGAGAATTCGATGTAGCGGACGAGTCGATCTCAGACGTACGTGCGACGGCGTCAAACTTTGACAGGTAAACATAACCCTAAAAATGAAAGATGCTAAAAACATCGCGATAGAAGATTTACCAGAAACTTGCAGACTTTGCTTGAGTAGCAGAAGTTCTTCGGATATATTTAAAGTTAAAAGAAAGTCGGTGTTGTTTACAGAGTTGTTGGAGAGTTACACGTCGATTAAGGTTTGTTCTTGATGTTTTGTAAACAGTGTTTATGTTATGTTTTGGTTTTAGGTGGAAGAAAATGATGGAAAACCCGATAAAATATGTAAAGTGTGCGAAAATAAGATGTATTCAGCCTATTATTTCTTTCAAACGTGTAAAAAATCTGATGAATACCTGAAAAAGCTTCACATCAAACATAAATCAAAACTTGAAGATACCTTTGATCAAAACGACGAACTACCTTTAATTGACCTAATAAAAATCGAAAAACTAGATGTTAAACCGGAATTAATAAACGAAGTCAATGATAATGGTTGTGATAATGATGAAAATAACATAGAGGATGACATAGATGACGACAAAGATGAATTATATGTTCCTGATACTTTAAAAGAAGAAAAGACTGAAGAAAGCATAGACGAAAACGAGGAAGAGGAAGAATTCGTCGAAAAGAAACGCCCTGGTAGAAAAAAAGGCTCAAAAAACAAAATTTACCCGGGTGGTAAAGAAATCAAACGTAGAAGACACTATTCATGTAAAGTTTGCAATGAAATTTTCACGGATTTGGAGTCGGTTAAAAAGCACAGGATAGAATTTAAACATTTGAGGAATAAACGGCATGTTTGTCCGACTTGTAGTAAAACTTTTGAGTGTAATTATAGATTGAACGAGCATATTAGGACTCATACAGGTGAAAGGCCCAACGTTTGTGATACTTGTAATAAAAGGTTTAATTCAAAGTCGGATTTGAAGAGACATGTGGTTATTATCCATTTAAATATCAAGAAGTATAAGTGTCAGCATTGTGGAAAAGGTACGAATTATTTTTGTAATTACTGTTTCTTACAATGAAGAAAGTGTTAAAATTTATAACATAGGTACTTAAATTTTATTATTTTAACACAAGTTTTCTTTCTACCAATCATTTGACAGTAGAAATGCTCTGTAGGAACAAACCTATTATCACTTTCGAAATGTTCACCTTGACATTCATAGACAAGGGATTGGTTGGGTGGGCGGGGGATTAGTTGACATTTAAATACAAATAATTAAGATTATCTGTCAGTTTTACGCTAATTTCGTCCACAAAACTAGTTTCTCGTTTTTTTTATTCGGAATTTGACGTCAAAAATTTAGGGGCTTAGATGCCAAATACTATGGACACTATAACTAAAAATGTCCATTATAAGTTTTAAAAAAATAATAGTATAATATTATTATGTATCAAGTTTGATAAACGCCATTTTATACATGAATTGAGTGTATAGAAAAGTTTATAAACGAGGTGCATACTATACTTTTTCAATGAAAAATACTTATTATTATATTAAAATGATTTAAATTAAAAAATTGTATAGAGCGCCATCTATGAAACATTAGGGGAATCTGTGTGTCACCGTCAAATGTCACATTTTTATATAACACAGATTATAAAGGTTATAAATCGAAATGTATTTCTTAAAAATTGACAGTTTTTCACAGTGAAAGTAAAGAAAATGTTTTATGAGTCATTCACGGTGGAGTTAAGTTATAGTTTTCTGCCGGCGAAATTCAAAGGTCAGTACAATGTTCATATAAACTTTTCAAATATTGGCGTTGAGAAACTATTTAATAATTTTGTATTTTTTTATTGAGATAATAAAATAATTTTCACATTTAGTATTATGTTACAAGAAAGGCACTGTATTTTAACGATTGTATGACATTTGACAACTGTCAACTAACTTCAGCCCGTGAATAAAAACCTGTTGCTAACTTCAGCCCGTGACTAAAGCGCCGTAAAGCCACAACTTGTCAATGTGTATTTAAAAGGTCACTTAGTGTCATTGAAACATGTACGATAAAGGGCGTTTTAAAGGTGGGAGTAGAAAAAAGTATAAATATTATTTCTTTCGTTGACTTTACTTTAACAGATACATAACCTGGAAAGTTTTAAATGCTAAATTTTCAAAAGATTGCGTTTCGTACGTAGTCACGTGATGGGACTTTGAGGTGTTGGGCATAGTACTAAAAATCATCAGCAATAAAAGTATAAGTAAATCAGGGCTGGATGCTCCCGTGTACGAGTTTTGGTTCGTCCCGCGCATGACGTCACTTGATGAGTAGTTGCCGTGAGAATACACGAAAAATAGTAATATTATCAAAGAAAATAGAGAAATATCTGGACATAGTGCGTTTTTATTAAACTTAATATTGAAGAAAGTGTTATAATATGGATAATAGATGCTTTCAGTCCTTGATAACATTTAGGGCTGTAGTTTAAGCGTTGGTGTTTTAAATTAAACTTATAGTCACTGTCCAGAAAATGTTTATAGGAAACAGAAGCGGTCTTAACGTTAATATTGTCTATTCTTTTTGTGGCATTTAAACACTGTTTCCACAAATCAAACTTTTTCGGGAATCGATTAAATTTAATGTTTTTATTTAAAGGGTTTTTCTTGGACTGGTTGTTCGAATTGCATCCAAATATGCCACAACGCATTTTAATAAATGCAAATGGCACGACACAAACTAAAACACAAACAAAACAAGTTAACGCAACTCAAAAACAATAGTAAACAAACAGAACAGGTTAACACAACGCAATAACAATAATTTGAACACTGAAAAGTAATTCGAATCTTACCGAACACAAAAACAATAAGATAAACAAAAAATAGAGCAAGTTAACATCCAAAAGTATCGCAAAAACAAGAATTTTAGCAGCAGATAATTAAAAAGCACGTTAAAGATCTAAAAACACTCATCAAGTGACGTATTTATGCCCCGCCCAACATGCGCACCATCCTATCTTAAGGTGTATGTATCTTGTAAGTAGGGTTGGGAAAGTTTCACTTTTTGCTTGTACTTGAAATTTCACTTGAAATTTTCATGACATTTATGAAATTTATTAAAATTTCATAAATTTCAATCACTTTAAGTGTAATATATTAATATTGAAATAAGCCCACTCGGGGACCATGGCAAATTGCCTCTCTTACCTCCTACCCCTCTGTGGGCCCCTGCACCAATAATATAAATAGTAAATACCTATGTTTATCACAAATTTCTTGAGATTTTCTTTTAAAATATTTTTAAAATTACTAAAACTAAAAGAGATATAGCACTTTTTGGTAAGCTAATGAGATTGTGCCACTTTCATTGTTTTATATTTATATATATTTATAATTTTTACTGAAATTTTACGAAAATTGAAGAAACTTCATCAAAATTTTATGAGCCAAAGGCATTTTTTATCCGTTTTCCGATGCAATTATAGCAAAAGTAAAAGTTTAAATTAATCATGACTTTTAAAAAAAAATTAAAGTCTGATTTAATTTACAAATTAAATTGGTAACTAAATTAAATTATTTAAATTAATTTATGCTTATAGGTAACAATAATTACTTATAGTGTATTCAAATCCAAGCCGAACTAAACAAAAACGCCCAGACGCTTGATAACTCGTTCTTATTGGTCGATTCGGAATCTGTTGTAAATTATTATTAAAGGTCCCAGGGGAGGCCGCATGTGAAATTTATGCGAAATTTTCAGTAAATTGCGAAACTTTCAAAGTTGAAATTTTCATTTGAAAATTTCAACTGTCCCAACCCTATGTATGTATCTTGTAAGTAAATAATGTTTTTTAGGTTTCAGTCGTAAATTCTACTTGCGCGACCACGAGCGCACGCACACTGGCGAGCGCTTGTACAGCTCGTGCTGCGCGAAAGAATTCACCTCGTACTACTCGCTCTACCACCACGAGAAAAAGCACAAGTACAACAAAAAGTACGTGAAAAAGGTAGACCCGAACAAGCCCGTGAAGGAAAAAGCGGAAGACGAGGGCAACTACCCGTGCTACATCTGCCCCAAAGTGCTGCGCACCGACTACTCCCTCAAACGTCACATCTCCGTGAAACACGACGCGCGGAATTTGACGTGCGACGAGTGCGGCGGCGCGTACGCCAGCATCAGGCAGCTCAACGAGCACATTCGCGGCACGCACAAGGACCACCCCTACACCATCGCGCACAACATTAAAGAATTCAGCTGCATGATCTGCGCGAAAGAATTCAAGTATAAAAGCTCTCTGAGAGACCACATGCGGGTGCACACAGGCGATACGAAGTTCAAATGCGCCGAGTGCGATAAGATATGCTTGAACAAGCGGAAGCTGAACGAGCACACGCGCATCCACACCGGCGAGAAGCCGTACACTTGCAGCTACTGCGGGAAGAGCTTCCGCACGCTGACGAACATGTCCGAGCACCAGAAAACGCACACCGGCGAGAGGAACCACGTTTGCAGTAAGTGCGGGAAGAGCTTTTTCGACGCGAGGACGCTAAAAAAACATTCGATGACCCACGGTGCTAATCAGAGTGACCTGGAAAATGTTGCGCAGCCCGTTTAAAAATTAAAATATTTGAACTTTAGAAATCCGAAAAATAGAAGTATTATTATATTAACAAATTCAGATTTATCGCGTAAAAAAATAGAGATGGGTATTGGAAGTTTCCAGTTACCGGAAACTTTCTCAGCATTTTAAGTTTAAATAACTACAAATTTACTACCAAGTCAACTTTAAAGTATTTTTTTACGGTTAACCAAAACGGTTTTATAACGGTATAGATACGAAAAATTACCAAATTTGGGGAATTTTTTATTTCGTCATTTTACCTACCTAATAACCTTTTTGATCTACTAAAAAAATAACGTCATAAAAACAATATACAGGGTGTTATGTAATTAATGTTATGTATTAAAATACTGAATACCTTTTGACATAAGGAGTAAAGAAAAAATATTTAAAATTGTTTTTTTCCAAAGATAAAGAAAAAAATATGCATTAGAAGTTTTTTATATTTTTTGTGATACGCCACTGGTTACACACTTGGTTTATCTCTGCACACTTGTGTTCTGTGAGTACATAGATACCAACCAACAAAGTAGCTGCGCGTTGCCAGATGTAAAAAATTGTTACTAAAAATTTTTCTTGCAAAAAATAAATAAAAACTCAATAAATACAAAAGTTTTATGCCCTTAAAGCTCTAATTCCCTTCTGGATTTATTTACTCATCCAGCTATTAGCTTAAGCAATGATTAGAACATTTAGTACCTATTTTAAAAAATCCATAACCACTAAATTAATTTTTTCTGTTTACTCAGATGAAATTGGGACCAGTTCACAGGTTAAACTTAAAACATTTAATTTGTGTAGATAAATCCAAAAGCACTTCCCTTAGTTAAGATATTTACAATTTGAGCACAACCTAAAATTTGAAAGAAATGCACTAGATTCTGTCATAAAAGTTGGCAGATTTTGTTTGAATTTACCTTCAGTACAAAAATGACATAACCTACAATTAATAAAAACGCTAAATTGACAATTTGCATTGTTAATTTTGTCATTTTTGTAATTAAGCTAAATTTAAACAATGTTTGTCAACTTTTTTGACATAATTTGGAAACGCTGTTGTTACCAACCATAACATAATAAATTAAATTAGGCAACCAGATTAGCCCAAAGTTTCTAGTCGATCAGTGGCGTACTTTTTGGTAGGATAAAGGTTATTATAAATTATTTTTAGTCTTTGGAATTTAGAAAAAAAAAGTTTCAGGTGCTTCTTTATAGACCCTAAGGAACAACCCATTTTAATATATAACATTAATTACATAACACCCTGTAAATACCACAAATTTACGTAAAATCAACGCTATAATTACTAACTGTTTCTAAAACATTGACATTCGTAATTTCTTTTAATTTATATTTTACAAAATGGTACTTACAAAGTAATAAGGGCCACAATTGTCAAAACTGATAATATTTTGCATTAAAATTCAAACGCACAATATTTAAATTGTTAAATGAGGTACCATACATCTTAAAAATTATATGCCATCTAAATATTTTACGAAATATTGTTTGGGTAAAAATTCAACAAATCTTAAAACCTACAAAATTTTATAAAATCTTTTAAAAATCATTTAGTTGTAATCATTTTTTAATAACTAAAACTTTCCTTATTATATTTTAGAAAAAATATTATATAAATGTTTAGATAAGTAATGGATGCCATCTTAAAAAACTCATTATGGCGACCTGAAAAAAAATTTCCCCTTAAAGTTTTATTTTTCACTTTAAGCTTATTTTTCCTTGTTTAGTCAATATTAATAGTATTTATTACCACTAATAACCATAAAAAATACCAGGCGATTAGGACTTATGAGTAACATTTACCATTAAGTAAAAATTCTGACGTTAAAATTACCGTTAAATTTTCCTTTAGGTGAAATACACTTAGTAATTTTCTTTCGTAAAAATTACCTCATAATACTTGTTGAAACTTAAGGGGTATTAAAATGGGTAAAAATAACATAAATAATACTTATTAAATAACTTTAAAAAAAGTTTTACTTCAAAGTAAATTTTTAAGGTTAATTTTACAAAATATTTACTTAAATTAAGTAATATTGCCTAAAAGCTCTACGCTTTTACTTAAAAAGTTTCCGGGAATTTCGTCAAATGTGAATTTTCCCATCTCTATTATTTTATTCACAAATTCAGATTTATCGTGTAAAAATCATTTTACAAAATTTAATTATTTTTAATACAATTTCCAAAACTTTTATCAATATTAGGTAAGTATTTAAGTTTTAAATTAAACTTTATCTTCCAAAAACTTTTAACTATACAAGATGAAACAAAAATTCGGCCATTTTTGTGTGGTTTACAATTCTTGTGCTTTAGGTTTGTGCTGTTTATACATATTAAAAATCGTTGTGTTTCTTACAGAGGCACTTGTAAGCCTCAAATGAGGCCTTAAAATGCTAAAAACAACCATTTTACTTCTCATTTGTAAAAAAATAAACCTTATTCTATCAGGGCTGCCATCAAACTTAAATCAAATTTAAATTTGTGGGTTATGGTATATAGCATACAGTTCATTTTTTTTTATCTGGACTCGTGTTTTTTTGTTAGGTTGGTGGCTTATGTCAGTTTGACTTGGTATTTTTAGTATTTAAAAATGGTACTTCTGCTAAAGAATTTAATTAAATACTTTGACACTGTCAAATTGACAATAATATTTATTATTGATAATTTACTTCAATTATAAATAAAAAGATAATTATGCCAAAAATAATAGCAACGAATAATAAAAGCCCTTTTGAGGGCAAAACTTCATTTTGATGAAATTATGCCAAATACCACAATGGAAGAAAAAGTACATCGCCTTGTGGACATTTTTGAAGTAAAAAAGTAACGAATTTGGTTTTATATATATTACATCACACATTATTTTTACATCATTCACCATTGGACAACATTTACGTTCACAAAAAATTTTAATTTCTTTTATATAAATTCTTTTTAAAGCGAAGATTATTATCTGCTGGGAATACTTTCTCTTCTGGGCCGTAAAGCAACCGATATTTAACTACTTTTTTATATGATTTTACTCATCAAAGCACCACCAAACCCAAATTAATTGCATTTTTAACTAAGAATTTCGACAACTCAACTTGACAACTGCACAATATAACCTACAATAATTTATACATAACCACAATTAGATTTATAACTAGCTTAAATTGTTTTAATCAATGCGACCAACTTGACAACTGTATTTACCAACCAAAACTCTAAATTTGCAACGTTGCCGCAGTCCAGATAAAAAAAAATTAACTTTATATGTTAATACATAAATATCTTTGGTTGTAAAAAAATATGTTTGACACAAGTGTACCTAAATATTTTTTTAAATTTTGTTTTGTTAACAAAGTTTGACCAACCATTTCACTTACACCATGTATAATTTTAAATATATATGTGATAAATTAAAGTGTTTTTATGTATTTTTGACTATTTAAGTGTAAATGTTTATGTAATTAATATAAAATAAATCTGATTGAGTATTTTTTACATTCAAAAGTTATCCCATAAATAAAGCCTTTTTTGGGCAAAATATATAGTATATTATATATACAGTGTGACCCATTTGTTTGCGACTCACCCCTGTAAAATCTTTATTTATTGGGCGATTTTAACCGGATTTGTTTAAAGTGTAGATCTTGATAAACTGTATTTTGGAGCAAAAAACGCCATATTTGTACAAAATACAAGGTCTACTATGTCAGTTTTTAGGAGTAAATTTTTAAGAATTTATATTAGCGATTTTTTTTAAATAAAATCTAAGCACGGCACTGGATTCACCACCCCTCAAAACGACCCTTTACTAAATTTTATTGAAAAATTTTAAGTAGAAAAATGCACAATAATAACTACAAAAATTTATTCTGTCAAGTTATCCATGAAAAAACATTGAAATAAAATTAAACTTATAGTTATAGTACCATGTTACTATTTCTATATTTATATTATGTAAATAATTGGTAAAATAATAAAAAGATTAAATTTTAAAAACCGTATAACTTGACACCCTGTATATCTTAAAACTTTTCGATAAAGTATGAGTAAACGTATGTCTTTGATTAAATCATGAAAATTCGATGTAACTATCTTTTACACAGTTACACACGGCATAAATTTGTATTGGTTTGTTTAAACAAATACATTTAATTGGGGTCTACGTTGTGTTGTTGATAAAGTTTTATTTATCGCTCCATAAATTTTTCGTACTTGGGTTTTGTTGGTTAGGTGTGTGCCTGTGCAACGTCAAAAAGTGACAGTAGCGTAAAAATGTTAAATAAATTGTTGCTAAATGTGATAAGGTTGTGGGTGCAAAAAGAAGATATTAATTAGTGAACTTTGAGAGGATAATCAATAAATCCAGGATTGGACGTGATGGAAATGCGCATGTCGTTTGGAGGACACTCACAAATTGTCACAAATTTGTGTAAATAGCCACCAAATTGTTCCTTTATTATTTAACCTTTCTAGTGCTATGAAAATTCAAAGAGAATTACTTCCGCAACATGAATGAACGTACTGGATGTTAGTTAAACGTTCTTTGTAAGGGCAACAGAAAAACTAGTCTTTGATATTTATTATTTGGAAAAATGACTTCCAACTCTATTCCTGTACTTCTAGTCACAGCTAATGTTGGATCTATTTTTGAAGATGTAAGTAAACAACTCTTTTGCAACATTTTCTTTACACGCATCAACCACAACCTATTTTTTTTATTATACCTACTTACATTAAACTGTTTCATTTAAACATTGTTTGTATTAAGTGCAAAAGTAAATATTTGGCTACAACTATAAATAAATGTTATTTTATAAATAGTTTTAATTTTCCATTCAGTAGACACAATTAATTAAAAAAAATTAATAGATATGTTCATTGCAATAACACATCCAAATAATTAATAAAGAAACATAACTTATAATATATTATATTATTAAATTATTATTAAATTATATTATTTAACTAGTTTGGTATAATATTGGTGTTTTCAAACTTTCAACTATTTTTTGCAGGGCAGAATTGTACATTTGACATTTTTAAAAACAGTTAAATCTAGCTTATGTTGGCAGTTGAATAAAACTTAAGTTTATTTTTTTTCAGTTTTATTAAGCTTTAATTGACATTTTAAATTTTTGTACACATTTTTAAACCCTAAAATTGATATTTCTTAACTTAACATTCTTATGTTTTTTGATGAAAAACCAATGTCAATTCGCAAAAATTTTTGATTTATCAATAGCTTAAATATTCACTTAACTTAACAGAAATTTCATAAAAATGTTAAATTAATCAAACTGTCTTAAAAATGTCAATTTAAGCTAGAATTTAACTTTCTTAATAATAAAAACTTATGCTAGATAAAACTAGCATACTAATTTCAACAAAAACTAAAGTTAGATCTAACTTTCTTAAATATATCAACTCAAGCTTAATATAACAATGCCTATATAAGCTAGATTTAACTGTTTTAAGAATGTAAAATATAGTTTTATTAACTATATCTATTATAAAACACTCTAGCTCATATAGACAAGAAACTGAAAATAGCTATTTTTTCAGTTTCTTAAAATTTTGATAGGTTTGCTATTGTAGCAACTACAAAATAATAGTTAAGTGATAGATATGGATTTTAGTTTACAATAATATATAATGCATATAATGCATTTTAGTCACGAGTTTTAATACTTTTTCTACGGCGAAAACAAAGTAATTTTTTTCAGAATATATCCAAATTTATTTACCATTGAACAAACGAATTTCTTAAATGATACTTATAAAAGTTTGACATCTGACAGTTCTAACCTCACTTTTTTCCAATGTAGCAACTGTCAGACGGGTTTAACCTCACTTTTTCCAATTTGTAATAAAGCCGAGGGTGGATAAAGTTATTAAATCAGTATTTTCTTCTTTTTAGCCAGCTCAGATGCTGGAGCTATGGACGAAAGAGTTCCTGGCCACTGTAACAAAATTGGACCCGAAATTTATCGCTCTGCATTGTCAGGAAGTCGGTGGAAAAAATTACGAGGAGTCCATGAGACATGTGAAGCTTTTCCTTGACTTGCTCATGACCAGCAGCGAGCTTCGTTTGTTTGACAAAATCAGGGTTTTCCTCGATGAGGATTATAGCTCTGCTGAAAATTTTACGGTAAGCTTTTATTTTACATTATATATAAGTAGTTATTTTAATCCATAAATTTTATTTCCTAAAATGTTTGTTTTGCGGTCTAAAAATTTATTTCAGGTAATAAACAGTTGGTAAAATAAATAGGATTTTCTTGTGTAAACATGATTTACTTTTACGATTATAAATATTTCTAAAAAGCAATTAGTTCATTGTGGTTTTACGATATTTATTCTAATATATTTAAATTATTATTACTTAACACTCTATAACACTCTAATAGAGTTTTCTCGGACGTAAATACCATGTTTTGCGTGACGCATGTAAAGGAGAATTAAAAAAAATTAAATCAATAGTAAATATGCAAACCATATTACGTAATAATGCTGTAAAAATTTAAATCAATTCATGTCTGACAAGGAATTAAAGTTTATTAGAATTCTTATATATTTTTTTGTATTCATTTTAATAAATTGTTGCCAGAAATAATAAGATAGTTTTCAAAAAAAGTTTTTCCTTGCAAAATGTGTTAAAAACACATTTTAAAGTGTCAAAATGACTTTTCAAAATTACATTTTGGAACTGACTTAAAAATGTTAAAAACAAAATCTACCATGTCAAAACACCTTTTAGAGTTTCAAACTTATTAGAAATGTCAAAACACAATTTAAACAAATCTTATAAATTATAAATTAGCTTTAAACTGACAGATAAATAACCTATAACTAATTGCATTTAAATGCCAAAGTGAGAATTTGGGGTGCGGAGCAAGGATACTTGCGACAGTCAACTCCTTTTCTTTCCTTTTCCCACAAAGATCAAATTAAACGAATTGTGATTGGTCGGTCAAAAATCGAGTGTGCTTAAACCAAGTTACTCCTCCTTTACTTGGTCTTCTTGGATTTTAGTTAAAAAATATTTAAGGAATATTAAATAATAAAAACACATTTTTAAAAGTCAAAAATACAATTTAACCAATTTCAATAATTTTTAAGGCATTGGGTAACTTGTACTTTATCCACGAATCCATGGAAAATGTTCTTCTGTGGGATTTTAAAGACTCCGCTTATGTTCCGGTACAGGGTAAAGAAATATACTCCGGCAACATTGAATCGGTGGTGACCAAAGAAAAGGCGAAATTCCCGCAAAACTATTTTCCCGAGGTAAGTGAAATTAGCAGCGAATACAATTAAATTTAAGTTAGGTAAATTTCGTTGATAGTTTCGGTCAAAGATTATTATCTTTGGTTTCGGTTTTTAAGTTCTTATATCTAAATTATTTCCTAGCTATTGTGTTATTCATATTATAACAATTTACATCATTATGTAAGGACAGCTTATACGTCAATCGCTTGAACGTATATATACTACTGGTATGCGGTCATTTTTCAAGATAACATCTAAAAATCTATAATTAAAATAAGCTACTTTACGTAAATCAAATTTAACCATGATTATATGATATTTAAGTTATATATGGAAATTTACCGTTATTAGAATAAGAAATTAAAATATTCAAATTTTGTATACTACTGTATTATTATTAAAATTTTAAAAAATATTTAAATATGGTATATTTTTATAGAATGTTTAACTTCCTTTAAAGTATAAAATCACGAATTTTTTTTGTCAAAACACCTTTCTGAATGTCAAACTGACTTAAAAATGACAAAAAACATCTTAGAGTCTCTAACATACTTAATGTCAACACACAATTTAGAATGTAAAACAAATCTTATGTCAAAACACAATTTTTAATGTCAAAAACACAGTTTGTTGTGTCAAACTTTACAGTTTGTACTACTTGAAAAGCTCTATCTTTTGAAGAAAAAAAATTGTTAGGTCATTTCCAAACTTACCTAAGAATGCCAAAAACACAAATTGCGATCCAAAAAATACATGAGGGAGTGTTTAACTTCCTTAAAAGTATTAAAATCACGATTTTTTTTGTCAAAACACATTTCAGAATGTCAAACTGACTTAAAAATGCCAAAACACATTTTAGAGTCTCCAACATACTTAATGTCAATACACAATTTAGAATGTAAAACAAATCTTACATGTCAAAACACAATTTTTAATGTCAGAACACAGTTTAGAGTGTCAAACTTTACAGTTTGTAGTACTCGAAAAGCTCTATCTTTAGAAGAAAAAAAATTGTCATGTCATTTCCAAACTCACCTAAGAATACCAAAAACATATATTGCGATGTCAAAAATACATGAGGGAGTGTTTAATTTCCTTAAAAGTATAAAAATCACGATTTTTTTTGTCAAAACACCTTTCAGAATGTCAAACTGACTTAAAAATGCCAAAACATATTTTAGAATCTTCAACATACTTAATGTCAACACACAATTTAGAATGTAAAACAAATCTTATGTCAAAACACAATTTTTAATGTCAAAAACACAGTTTAGAGCGTCAAACTTTACAGTTTGTATTACTCGAAAAGCTCTATCTTATGAAGAAAAAAAAATGTCATGTCATTTCCAAACTTACCTAAGAATGCCAAAAACACAAATTGCGATCCAAAAAATACATGAGGGAGGGTTTAACTTCCTTAAATTTAATTTAGAATGTAAAACAAATCTTACATGTCAAATCACAATTTTCAAAATTGTCAAAAACACAGTTTAGAGTCTCAAACTTTACAGTTTGTAGTACTCGAAAAGCTCTATCTTTTGAAGAAGAAAAAATTGTCATGATATTTCCAAACTTACCTAAGAATGCCAAAATCACAAATTGCGATGTCAAAAATATATGAGGGAGTGTTCAACTTCCTTAAAAGTATAAAAATCATGATTTTTTTTGTCAAAACACCTTTCATAATGTCAAACTGACTTAAAAATGCCAAAACACATTTTAGAGTCTCTAACATACTTAATGTCAAGACAAAATTTAGAATGTTAAAATGTCAAAACACAATTTTTAATGTCAAAAACACAGTTTAGAGTGTCAAACTTAACAGTTTGTAGTATTCGAAAAGCTCTATCTTTTAAAGAAAAAAAATTGCCATATGTCATTTCCATGACACTCTATGATTACATTTTTAAGTGCAAATGGTCCAGGAAGGGCTTTATGCGCACGCGCTGGTCCCTGCAGGGCTCCATCTTCGACCTGATCAACATTCATCTGTTTCACGACGCGTCAAACTTCGTCGCCATGGAAACGTGCCCCTCGATCTACTGCCAGACGCGACGGAAAGCTCTCGAGCACACGCTGCACCGTTTCCATAACGACCAGTACGGCAAGGCCCCCTACTTTTTGTTCGGCGACTTTAATTTCCGAACAGACACGGAAGGCGTTGTGAAAGTGAGTTTTCTGCGCAGCTTTTGGCCTGCGCAGGAGATAATTATTAATCGTTAATGGTTTTAGAAATTAACCGAGGGACTTAACAAGGTACAAAGCAGCAAGAACGAGGTTCAGTATACGAACGACAATAAGTGTATTTTGACTTTGGGGAAGAAGGAGTTCAATCATTTTGATCATCAGACGGTTTTCTACAAATCCAATCCGACATGGGTGAGTAACAATATTTATTTTTAAATATTGAAAAAATCACAATTTACGATAAAAAATACAGTTCATTTTTTTTTATTTGGACCAGCCAGGAATGTAAAAACACATAAATCTCAAACTTAAATTATAATAATGATAATTATAAATTGTGTTTTAAAATTATTTCAAAATAAAATTTAGAATGTCAAACAAATTTTACAATGTCAAAACATGCTTTAGAATGTCGAAAACATAATTTACGATGTCCAAAATACATGACGAAGTGTCTAACTTACTTGTAAATGTAAAAAACACGATTTTTTGTCAAAACACCTTTCAGAATGTCAAACTGACTTAAAAATGCCAAAATACATTTTAGAGTCTCTAACACACTTAATGTCAACACACAATTTAGAATGCAAAACAAATCGCATGTCAAAAAACAATTTTTAATGTCAAAAACAAAGTTTAGAGTGTCAAACTTTACAGTATGTAGTACTCGAAAAGCTCTCTCTTTTGAAGAAGAAAAAATTGTCATGTCATTTCCAAACTCACCTAAGAATGCCAAAAACACAAATTGCGATGTCAAAAATACATGAGGGAGTGTTTAACTTCTTTAAAAGTATAAAACACGATTTTTTTGTCAAAACTCCTTTCAGAATGTCAAACTGACTTAAAAATGCCAAAACACATTTTAGAGTCTCTAACATACTTAATGTCAACACACAATTTAGAATGTAAAACAAATCTTATGTCAAAACACAATTTTTAATGTCAAAAACACAGTTTAGAGTGTCAAACTTTACAGTATGTAGTACTCGAAAAGCTCTATCTATTGAAGAAGAAAAAATTGTCATGTCATTTCCAAACTTACCTAAGAATGCGAAAACACAAATTGCGATGTCAAAAATACATGAGGGAGTGTTTAACTTCCTTAAAAGTATAAAATTACGATTTTTTTTTGTCAAAACACCTTTTAGAATGTCAAACTGACTTAAAAATGCCAAAACACATTTTAGAGTCTCTAACATACTTAATGTCAACACACAATTTAGAATGTAAAACAAATCTTATGTCAAAACACAATTTTTAATGTCAAAAACAAAGTTTAGAGTGTCAAACTTTACAGTATGTAGTACTCGAAAAGCTCTCTCTTTTGAAGAAGAAAAAATTGTCATGTCATTTCCAAACTCACCTAAGAATGCCAAAAACACAAATTGCGATGTCAAAAATACATGAGGGAGTGTTTAACTTCTTTAAAAGTATAAAACACGATTTTTTTGTCAAAACTCCTTTCAGAATGTCAAACTGACTTAAAAATGCCAAAACACATTTTAGAGTCTCTAACATACTTAATGTCAACACACAATTTAGAATGTAAAACAAATCTTATGTCAAAACACAATTTTTAATGTCAAAAACACAGTTTAGAGTGTCAAACTTTACAGTATGTAGTACTCGAAAAGCTCTATCTATTGAAGAAGAAAAAATTGTCATGTCATTTCCAAACTTACCTAAGAATGCGAAAACACAAATTGCGATGTCAAAAATACATGAGGGAGTGTTTAACTTCCTTAAAAGTATAAAATTACGATTTTTTTTTGTCAAAACACCTTTTAGAATGTCAAACTGACTTAAAAATGCCAAAACACATTTTAGAGTCTCTAACATACTTAATGTCAACACACAATTTAGAATGTAAAACAAATCTTATGTCAAAACACAATTTTTAATGTCAAAAACACAGTTTAGTGTCAAACTTTACAGTTTTTAGTACTCGAAAAGCTCTATCTTTTGAAGAAGAAAAATTGTCATGTCATTTCCAAACTTACCTAAGAATGCCAAAAACACAAATTCCGATGTGAAAAATACATGAGGGAGTGTTCAACTTCCTTAAAAGTATAAAAATCATGATTTTTTGTCAAAACACCTTTCAGAATGTCAAACTGACTTAAAAATGCCAAAACACATTTTAGAGTCTCTAACATACTTAATGTCAACACACAATTTAGAATGTAAAACAAATCTTACATGTCAAACACAATTTTTAATGTCAAAAACACAGTTTAGAGTGTCAAACTTTACAGTTTTTAGTACTCAAAAAGCTCTATCTTTTGAAGAAAAAAAATTGTCATGTCATTTCCAAACTCACCTAAGAATGCCAAAAACACAAATTGCAATGTCACAAATACATGAGGGAGTGTTAAACTTCTTTAAAAGTATAAAATCACGATTTTTTTTGTCAAAACACCTTTCAGAATGTCAAACTGACTTAAAAATGCCAAACCACATTTTAGAGTCTCTAACATACTTAATGTCAACACACAATTTAGAATGTAAAACAAATCTTATGTCAAAACACAATTTTTAATGTCAAAAACACAGTTTAGAGTGTCAAACTTTACAGTATGTAGTACTCGAAAAGCTCTATCTATTGAAGAAGAAAAAATTGTCATGTCATTTCGAAACTTACCTTAGAATGCGAAAACACAAATTGCGATGTCAAAAATACATGAGGGAGTGTTTAACTTCTTTAAAAGTATAAAATCACGTTATTTTTGTCAAAACACCTTTCAGAATGTCAAACTGACTTAAAAATGCCGAAACACATTTTAGAGTCTCCAACATTCTTAATGTCGACACACAATTTAGAATGTAAAACAAATCTTATGTCAAAACACAATTTTTAATGTGAAAAACACAGTTTAGAGTGTCAAACTTTACAGTCTGTAGTACTCCAAAAGCTTTATCTTTTGAAGAAGAAAAAATTGTTTTGTCATATCCAAACTTACCTAAGAATGCCAAAAACACAAATTGCAATGTCAAAAATACAAGAGGGAGTGTTTAACTTCTTTAAAAGTATAAAATCACGATTTTTTTTGTCAAAACACCTTTCAGAATGTCAAACTGACATAAAAATGCCAAAACACATTTTAGAGTCTCCAACATACTTAATGTCAACAAACAATTTTTTGTTTTTGGTTTTACAAATATTAAATCGCACATTATTTTCAGCCAAGCAGATCAAAAATTTTTGAAATTTTAAAAAATAAGGGGGAAATAAAAAACAAAAAATAAAAATTATTTGCTGTTAGGTCCAACCTTTTTGTGAAAAATCGTGTAGTTAATTTTTTCTGTCTTTGAAAATAGCATCCATTTGGTTTGAAAAAGAACTTTTTCATCTTTCAATTTGCAAGTTACTGTTCATTAATAGTCCTGAACAATATAGGTATACATTATAATTATTATTAATCCACTACAAGTATTAATGTCCAGTGGCTTTAACAAAACACCCATTCACCATTGGAGTCCAATGATTGGACAACATTCACGTGTGTTCACATAAAATTTTAATTTCTTTTATATAAATTCTTTTTAAAGCGAAGATTATTATCCGCTAGGAATACTTTGTCTCTCCTGGGCCGTAGTCACCTATATTTAACTACTTTTTTATTTTGCCGCAGTCCAGATAAAAAAATATTATTATTATAGTTAAAATCCTACGACAAAGAGCTGGAAGCGTTCAAGGAGCACTTGATAGAGTACCCTGTGACTTTCCCGCCTTCGTATCCGTTCGAGGAGAAAATTTCGCAGGGCTCCTGCTACATGCAGACGCGATGTCCGGCGTGGTGCGATCGCGTGCTCCTGAGCCACACCGCGAAACAATTGGTCGACGACCGGTCCGAAGTCGGCTACAACGTTATCGGGGCGGAAACGTGCATGGGCGACCACAAGGTACGTAACCGATACCCTCGACGATACTACGCGTGTTTTTTTGCGGTCGACGAAAATAACAAAGCAAAAATGCCTTTGAACAGATAAAAAAGTATATATAGGTCATTCATGAAATGACTTATACAGGGTGTTATGTAATTAATGTTATATATTAAAATACTGAATACCTTTTGACATAAGGAATAAAGGAAAAATATTTAAAAAAACATTTTTCCAAAGATAAAGAAAAAATATGCATTAGAAGTTTTTTATATTTTTTGTGATACGCCACTGGTTACACACTTGTTTATCTCTGCACACCTGTATTTTGTGAGTACATAGATACCAACCAACAAAGTAGCTATGCGTTGCCAGATGTAAAAAATTGTTACTAAAAATTTTTCTTGCAAAAAATAAATAAAAACTCAATAAATACAAAAGTTTTATGCCCTTAAAGCTCTAATACCCTTCTGTATTTATTTACTGATCCAGCTATTAGCTTAAGCAATGATTAGAAAATTTAGTACCTTTGAAATTTGAAATCCATAACCACAAAATTAATTTTTTCATCAGTTTTTTTCTCTGTTTACTCAGATAAAATTGGGACCAGTTCACAGGTTAAACTTTAAACATTTAATTTGTGTAAATAAATCCAAAAACACTTCCCTTAGTTAAGATATTTACAATTTGAAAACATAACCTAAAATTTAAAAGAAATGCACTAGATTCTAGCATAAAAGTTGGCAGATTTTGTTTGAATTAACCTTCAGTACAAAAATGAAATACCCAGCAATTAATAAAAACGCCAAATTGACAATTTGCATTGTTAATTTTGTCATTTTTGTAATTAAGCTAAATTTAAACAATGCTTGGCAACTTTTTTGAAAGATTTTGGAAACAGTTGTTACCAACCATAACATAATAAATCCACCAGATTAACCTAAAGTTCCTAGTCGATCAGTGGCGTACTTTTTGGTAGGATAAAGGTTATTATAAATTATTTTTAGACTTTGGAATTTAGAAAAAAAAAGTTTCAAGTGCTTCTTTATGGACCCTAAGGAACAACCCATTTTAATATATAACATTAATTACATAACACCCTGTATTTACAATTAAAAATAACATTTTTTCTTTGTATTTCGTTTACGCCAAACAATGGGGTAGTTAAATTTTTTCTGACCTATACTTTTTATGGTTTTATTCAAGGCGTTTTGTAACATTAAACATTTCTGTGAAATCGGAATTTCAATTAAGTTTACCGTTTTCGAGATATTTACAAAAAATATAAATTTTTATGACGTCACAAACCTCGCCATGTGACCAACATTCTAAGATTTCTATTGGTTGAAAATTACCCTGTTGTCAAGTTGTCTTGTTAATGATTTCATTCGGTTATGTCAGAAAATACCCGAAGAGGTTATGTACAAATACTGTCACTGTCAGTTGAGTGAAAGATGGTCACCAAATTCCTTAATGAAATGCATTTACGACAAAATATGATTATAATTATAGGTACTTACTTTATTTGTTTAAAAGCTCCAATGTTCAATGTAACCAACCATTCCACAAGATTCCTCTGCTTTGGAGTCCGTTATTAATAAATCACTTATCTAATATCAATTACAAATAACATAACATTGATTTTCAATAATCTAAATTAAAAAAAAAACATAACCCGAAAAAAAGAAACGTCAAAAAATCAATTCTTCTTCTTCTTCTCAACTAAAATTATATATCAAGTGGTTTTAAAACTAAAATATTATAACGTGGCGCCATCTATCGTAAGAATCTTAAACTAAACACACTGGCAACCATAGAAAAAGCTGGCAACGTTGTCAATAGCCTAGTGACGTAATTAGGAGATTTTTTTTTGTAAATATCTCGAAAACGGTAAACTCAATTGAAATTCCGATTTCACAGAAATGTTTAAAATTACAAAACGCCTTGAATAAAACCATAAAAAGTATAGGTCTGAAAAAATTTAACTACCCCATTGTTTTCCTCTTACGATTTTATTTTCTCCCTTTATGCAAAGCAGCCAGTTTTTCTGGATTTTCACATGTTGGTATAACATGTCTGAGGAATACCAAGTAAAATACTAATACAACTAATACAAGGTTTTTCTGTAGGTTTTAGACCCTATTTATTAACATTTTGGTACCACTATTTATCGCTAGAACTAGATTTTTTGAAATCATCAAAGAGTATGTCATTTGTAAAGACCATCATTAAAAAGATGTTTGTTTGTGTCAACATCAAACCTTTTAATATTCTTTTGTATATACTAATAACAAATATTTACAGCTATTAAAGGAAATCGAATATAAACTAAAATCATTGTTTCTGTAAAATACAGCCAAATGTTGATAATCCAAAAATGTATGTAAGAATGTTAAACCACAATTTAAAATGGTAAAAACATAATTATCTTGCTTTTGAATTATTCCAAAATCTCTTTTAGTGTTAAGCTGACTTAATAATGTCAAAAAAAACTTTTAATAGCAGTAAACCAACTTAAGATGCAGTATAAGCAAGAAAAATTAATTTTTTTAAACTTTAAACCGTGGATTGACTTTTTTAAGTAATTAAATTAAATTGTACCTATTAGATACTAAATACACATTTTAGTAATGATTTAGGTAAAAATCATAAAACAAATAAGTCGTCTAAATTCAAACAGCATTATTAAAAGGTTAATCAAAAAAGTCTCCACTCAACAGTAAAATACCAAGAACCGGTATTGTTATTTGCAAAGTTAAGAAAAAAAAAATTTAACATTTAAATTTATACTATCAATTGTTTCTTTGCGTTATCTAAATTTTAGTGTTGTGAAATTAATCAATTATTTGTGATAGAGTCGTAATAAATATTTTTTCTCGCTTATTTTGTTTTTCAAAAATTGCTAAATGTTCTGACTGAATAGAGAAAAATTTTCATAATGAACTAAAAAGTATGTGTGCTATTAAAAAAAATGGTTGCCATAGAAACAAAATAAAAAAAGATATTAACAAACTAAAAATCTCAAAACATGGTTGGTAATGAACCAAATAACTTTTATATATTTTTTTTAATTTGCAATTAACAAAGCCATTATTTGATACTTTTAATAATATTATGTTGACATAAATTCGTAGGTATATTTTGTCGTTTAAAACGTTATAGGCGTTTGTAGAGGACTCAATTATACAAATATTCGATTTTAAGGTTATGTTTGTGCAACAATTATTTTTTGTTGGATTTCTTATAAATGTTCAAACTTAATTATAAATTATATACGCTAAAGAAGTATCGGATTTTCGCAACGCGCGCGCCATCTGGTGCACTTCAAAAGCATTGCGTGAATTTAAGTATTGTCAACAATACATTTAAAGCATACGAACTGTACATCATTTAGTACTCGATTTTGATTTATTATTCTTTATATCATTAATTAAGAAACTCAACGCTTAAATGCTTATATAGTTACGTTAGTGTGTGTATTTTATCTAAGGGATCATGGTGAATTATTGCGTTTTTAATTGTAAATAAAATTCAAGAACTAAATCGTTGCATTTTGATGTTTTGTCAAAGGATCCAATTCGGTAAGTACATTTGTTGGTGCAGAATTAACTAATGATAACTTTACCTAGTTTAATTTATATTTAAGTTTGGACATTTTTAATAAATTAGTAGAAAATAATTTTTGCACAAACATAACCTTAAAATGAACCATTTTTATATTTGAGTTCTCTAAAAAAACGCCGACAAATGCATTTTAAACAACAAAATATACTTACGAATTCATGGCAACATAATATTATATATTAAACATAATATAATGGTATTTTACCGTTGAGTGGAGACTTTAAAGAATTCTTAATCAACGCTTTTAATAATGCTAAACGCTATTTAAATTTAGACGACTTATTTGTTTGAGGATTTTTACTGGATTGAAATGTTTACACTTTTCACGTTAATCACTACCAAAATGTGTATTTAGGGAATCTAATAGGTACAATTTATATTTACAGAGACTGTATGCAATTTATTTCTTTATTCACAACAACACAACAAATCGAGCCACGGTTTTTTTCCGATATTTTTTAACATTTTCCGGCTTTATTCTCAAAAACACTCGTTTGTAACAGAAGCGTTTGACAGCTGATTATTAAAAGTTTTGTTGATCAAAATGGATTATCAAGATTCTTCTGTAGAATATTTATTGTAACTGATTCATTATTAATAATTATAATCGATTTCTTTTTCTATTTCAAAATGGTGATTTTTCTTTATCGTATTCCCTTGATTAGACTAGTACTAACCATCCACATAAAACGTTGAGACCTGAAAGTAACAGTAATAACTGTCCAACACTAAATTAGCCCCCATTTTCACCCACCCCCATAATCCGAACTCGCTAAACGTAGACTTGTAACACATGTGACGTTTATTCTTGCAGCCGGTGTATCTTAAGGCGGACTTGAGGGTTAACGCAGGTACCGTATTATGTTGCCAGCACGCGCCGTTTGTATGCTTGCCGTCAGTTTGCACTTGCTGCCACTCTTACGCTTCCGTCGAAATAAACGTGATAGACACCGATTTAGACGTGGCGATGAAGAAAAGTTTCTCGGAAATTTTCGTAGACATTAAGCTGCTGCACGAGCCTATCACCAGGGACATGTTGTGCCACGAGCCGTACACCCCTGAAAGCGTTGATTCCCACTCGCCCATGCCGGAAAAAAACGAGCCGTCAAAAAACGAGCCGTCGAAAAAATTCGTGTCTCCGACGCAGCTCAAAAGCAGACTGGAGGAGTTGAGCAAATCGCCGCGACTCATGAAGCGCTCCACCTCAGAAAACGTCGACATGAACGTTGACAGTACGCGATTTAGAACCCGCGCCATGTCGGAAGTACCAACCAAAAATCACAGACTCCTTTCCGTAGCCAGTAGAGGCTCTTTGCACAGGCTCCAGAGCCATCACAGCTCCTCTAGCGAATCCTGGTACGAATCTGATAAAGACGATATCCTAGATAAAAAATTTTGCTGCGGCGACGATGAAACGATACAGCAAGACTACAAAGTCAAAGTGAAGCGAAAAAGTAAGGGAAACTGCTGTTCACTGTCGTAGGAAGATTCCGAAAGAAACTAGTCAAGGATTTACGCGCCATCTACCGTCTATTTGCGACATTACTAGCGTTATGTTTGTGCTGCATGAGTATTAGGGTGATTCATTTCGGCAAAGTTTTTGTTTTCTTCGGTGCTCAAGCAAAATATTAATCTGCATATAGAAAAGAAAATTGTCAATAATATAAATTTTAAGTACTTACTATTTAAATTTAAAGTTTTACCGTTTAAAATGCATGTAAAAAATATATATATTTTTTTAAATTTCTAATGCTTACCCACCTTTGACAATATTGCAAATCGGTTTAATACACCTTATGGGGAATTTCACGCTCTTTAAAATTTTACGCTCTTTTTTTTTAATTTTTTTCTAACCGCAAAAAGTATGCAGAAAAAAGGGCTGAATCATAAAAAAAGTTATCCAACCAATATTTAATTTTTATAACTGAAAACGTAAGAAATTGATAAATACCAACTCATAATGTTATTTAGATTGATTTTTTCTATTTATTATCATTATATTTCCCTACACTAAGAAGTTTTTTAAAATTATTGATTTCTCACTTATAATGAATATGAAAACAACAGATAAATTCATAAAAAAACAATAAGAAAATTGTAACGTGGATTTTGCAATTTTTCAACATTTCTGTCATATAGCAAAAAAATATAAATGAAGATTATTTAATTTTTTGAAGCGAAATTTGAAATATGTTACATAACCTTCTGTATATTCCGATTAAAGTTTTGTTGTTTTTTTATGAATTTATGTGTTGTTCTCATATTCATTATGAGTGAGAAATCATAATAATTTTAAAAAAGTTCTTAGTGTAGGGAAATATAATGATAATAAATAGAAAAAATCAATCTAAATAACATTATGGGTTGGTATTTATCAATTTCTTACGTTTTCAGTTATAAAAATGGCAGTAAATTCATTAAATATTGGTTGGATAACTTTTTTTTATGAATCAGCCCTTTTTTCTCACTACTTTTGGCGATTTGCTCGAAAAAATAAAAAAACGATTTTTTTCAAAAACTGTAATTTGACGACTCCTACTGGTGAACCAATGAGAGTTACAAAAAAAACTCAAAAGCATTTTTAAAGAGCGTGAAATTCCCCATAAGGTGTATTAAAACGATTTGCAATATTGTCAAAGGTGGGTAAGCATTAGAAATTAAAAAAAAAATATATTTTTTACATGCATTTTAAACGGTAAAACTTTAAATTTAAATAGTAACTACTTAAAATTTATATTAAGAGCTCAAACTTGTTGAGAATTTTTTTTTCTATATGCAGATTAATATTTTGCTTGAGCACCGAAGAAAACAAAAACTTTGCGGAAATGAATCACCCTAATGAGTATTTACACGTTTTGCCTGCACATTTATTATTTGGCAACAAGTTAAAAGTAGTCGCATTTATTGTTTTTTTTGTAGAGTTGTTGTGCACTAGCAAACTTAAAAAATCAAAGAGTAATGTCGATTTTTTTTCTCCCAGGACCAAATTTAAGTTTCGACGATATAAAAATGCAGAACTTGACCAAAAAGGACGTGGATTCATCAACCATCACCAGATATATTTACATTCAGAATATCGATAACCCTGTGAAAATATTCAGAGAGACGGCCGTTTAAACTCAAAATTTTAGCACAAAGTTTTCCAAAATTGCCCACCAACTATCAAGCCCAAGTTTTTTGAAATTTGCGACTCTACACTCTATATTTGACCATTTTTATAAACCTCTAATGGAAAAACCTATTTAAAACGGCAATACCATGGTAATAATCACCGTTTTAAATACACTCACAGGCAAAATAATCGATCCACACAAATTTTCGATGAATTTCAATCGCAAATAACTTTTTTATTTGATTTCGGATTTAAACAAATATTAAAGAATATTGTAGATACATTAATGGAGAATCGCTCACATTTTAAAAATTACTAAAAAATACACGTACGTTTATAATATACAGGTTTAAACAAAAATATGTTTTTTTACCATAAGTTTTACCATAAGTTTAAGACACATCTTTTTGTTTAAACCTGTATATTATAAACGTACGTCCATTTTTTAGTAATTTTTTAAAATATGAGCGATTGTCCATTAATTTATCTACAATATTCTTTAATATTCGTTTAAATCCGACATCAAATAAAAAAGTTATTTGCGAATGAAATTCACCGAAAATTTGTGTGGATCGATTATTTTGCCTGTTAGTGTATATAAGAAGGAAGGTTTATGAAAATGGCAAAAATGGTTTATTATTTTCGTTATTATACGGCTGATAGTTAAGTTAAGGCATACTTTTGTGGAATTTGTTAAATTTAAAAAATATTGATATTTATGAACGTTTTTCATGACACATGTTTTTAAAACACCCTGTGTGGTATAAGTACAATACTGTAATATTGTATGTGTTATAATGGGGAGGTGAGAAAAAATTAAAATTTATATTTTTGATTTGCTATACCGCGGAAACGCCGTACTAGGGTTTTAAAATTTCCTAATAGTATATAAAAGAACTAATGTCATGAGTTATTTATGCTATTTTATATATTTTACAAAAGTTTCATAAAAAAATTAATTTTATACCTTAAATTTAATTTGGTCGAATTTTACTTTATATAGTTGGTATCACAGTCAATGTCAAAATCGATTTGCCATGCTGTCCTTAATTTACTTATTTACAATAAGCGCCTGTTAATGTTAAAGAAGAAAAAAAAGGATTTTCTTTGTTGCCAAATTTATTGCCAGAAAAGTCTCGTATGTACTAGAAAAATCATAAAAATATAACCAATATGCAAAATATTATGCTGTCTAAAGTGTAGCCAACCTATAAAATCAAATTTTTGTGTGGGATAAAGTATCTCATTACAGCCAAGCAAGCTTTCTTATAATTAAGTCATTAGGAACGCAAAATAGATAAAAAATTGAAAAAAACCGTTTTTTTTCCGAAAAAAATTCGAAAAAATTGGAAAATTTTCAGAAAAATTCACTTTTGCATTTTTTTCATTTTATTTAAATGGTATTAATTTTACAAAAAAAAAATCAAGTTTACCCCAATTTTCCCGACACTTTAAACCCCTAGGCTGTAAATCATAACAAATAAAAATCTCAAAATTGGATCGCACAAAACGCCTCAAGTTAAAAAAATTACTAATTTTACAGTTTTTCCTTTTTTTTCTATTTGGAGATTGTATTTTTTTAACGGTATAGTGCTTAAACGTTACAATTTGCTGTTTTCTTGCCGGACATATGTCGAAAAACAGGATTTTGACATTTTATTTTTGACGCAAGGTAAAACATTCGCCGAGACGGCAACTTTTCCGCAGTATTGCGAAAATATAAATTTGAAATTTTTCGCACCACCCTAGTGTATAATTATATGGAATTGTATCGTGTCCCCCCTGAATATGTCTGTGTGTAGACCCCCCCACTCCCCTCCAAAACTAGGTCCACCCATCATAAATGCTTGCCATTAAAATTATTTATATAAATGTATCTATATTCTAACTAAATGTGATATTTATAAAAAAATTTAATGTAATTTGCCAAGCTTCCATATTTTTTATTCACTGGGTTTTTTATTCGAGGCTTTACTTTCTATATAAAATGATCTCTATAGAAAGTAAATTTCAAGAAATTTAATTAAAAAGCATATTTACTTGTTTTTCTGAATCAAATTATTTGCATTTATATTAATTAGAGTTTGTTAAATTTAAATATGATATTATGCCATTTATTAATTTAAGGCCTAAATAATCATTTTTTCTAAATTATTATTTTAGTAAGCATAATATAAGGCTGTAAAGCACAAATGCCAGCCTAAAAAAATATTTAATTGTTTGATGTTAGGTTTATAAATTCTGTTTTTTTATTAATTGATATATTTTATGATGTGATGTTTATGTATATGTATTAATGTTTCATGTTTAGATAATATTGTATGTAACCATGGTTATTCTAAATATAACACCAATATTATATTAAAAATTTAAAATGGGGGAATAATACTACACTCAAAATATTTGGAATAACCGAAGAGAACTGTTAAAAAACAACAGTCAACCTATAACTTTCTACTTTAAATGTTTTATATGTCCTATACAAAAATATTTGTACTTACATCATAATAAAAGAGATCTTAAATAAAAAATTGACGTTTAAAAATATATCGATGTGCTAGTCATAATAACATTAATTTAAGATTTAAATTTGTTCGAATTTTATTTACAAAAACTATGAAATCGGTTAATTTTAATCACAGTTAATCTAGTCAAATCTTTATAGTCATTTAAAATCTGAATTTTGTTGAATAAACACATAAACAAATAAAATGAAATAATAAATGTAAATGTATTTTAATTATAGACCCACCTCCCAAAAAGTGAAAGTTGTACTACTGTACTCTTAACTACTGTAATTTGTAAAGTAAATAATAGCATACTTAAATGATAAAAGTGCGGCCCCAATTGATATAAACTGTAGCGGAAAATTCCAACACAAATTTATTTTAGTTGTACACAACATCGCTGTGAAAATGGTCGTCATTACAGCGGAAGAAAAGTCTAAACTTGATAACCAAGCGTTAAATAATTTTCAGGAGTATTTAGGAATACCATCTGTACATCCAAATATTGACTATGGTAGGTAATTAATACTAGGTTCTTGGATTTGTTGGTAATGTTGTTTTAGAACCTTGTGTTAAATTTTTGAAAGTACAAGCAAAGTACTTGGGCTTGCCTGTTAAAGTTGTCCAAATAACGGAAAGTAAACCACTGGTTGTGGTGACATGGTTGGGAACAAATCCACTACTACCATCAATTGCCTTAAGTAGTCATATGGATGTTGTTCCTGTGTATGAAGTATGTACCTACAATGCATTTTATTACAAATAAAAATAAATGAGATTTTGTGGTTTAGGAAAAATGGACTCAAAAACCATTTGGAGCGAATATAGTTGATGGTAAAGTATACGCCAGAGGGGCACAAGACATGAAATGTGTCGCCATTCAGTATTTTGAAGCTATCAGGAGAATGAAATTAAAAAACATTAAACTCCTAAGAACGCTAAATCTTATTTTCACTCCAGGTTAGTAATACCAAGGGTGAGTTTAAACTATAAATAAACCTGTTATTTATAGACGAGGAAATAGGAGGTGTAGATGGAATGAAAAAATTCGTTCAAACCCAAGAATTTAAAAATTTAAACGTTGGATTCGCATTGGATGAGGGCATGGCCAGCGAAAACGACGATTTTGATGTTTTTTATGGGGAAAGATGTATTTGGCGTAAGTAGGTATATATTTTTTATTTGGAATTTTGATTTTGTTGAAAGCGCATAGGGTAAAGTAGACAGTTATTGGACAATTAACATTAATACTGTAAAAACAAGACTCCTTTAAGTCAAATCATTAGATGACGCTGTGTACAATTATAACTATCTCAGTCGGTAATAATATAGAACTACTTTATTTTGGGTCCAATATAGGACAAAAAAGTTCGCACGTTACTTTGGTGGTAAGATTTTTGTTTTTTTGTTAAGAGCAGGGCTCTGTTTAAATTACAATAAAAAATATTTCTAAAAAGTGTACAGATCAGTGTGTGGTATTTATAAATGTGTTCCTTATGGTTTAAACATTGCCACTTTAATGCGTTTTAATTTTAATTCTGAAAACAAACAGTAAAATGGCCAGTGTCCAATTACTGGTTGGTAAAAAATGTTAATTTCTATTATTGGACATATGTCCAATATCATGCTCTATTTGTATCCCAGCCAATTCTTATGTAAAATTGTCCCCTGAATTCGAAAAGACCATCAAAAACTATAAAAGTTAAGCAATTTTTGAGATATAGTCAATTCCATATTATATATATATGCAATATGTAAAATTGATTATATTTCAAAAACTGTTTATAACTTTTGACGACATTTTCGGATTCAGCGAATATTTCATAGGAATTGACTGCTAAATATCCTGGATACAAATTGCTGTTGACGAGAATTATTAGTGGCTGCTTTTTGGCTATGACATTTTTGACTAATTCATTTTTAGAGAGTAAGTAATATAGTGATTTCTTCGTCACAGGACATCTTGCAGAATAACAGTGATTTAAATATAGTGCATAAAAAACTAATGGCAACAAAATTAATAAATTCGGAAAATACTTTTAATATGCCACCCGAAAAAATATTAGATATATATAAATCATCCTGTTCCGGCCTAAACATTATAAATGCTTTACAAACTAGAGATACCACACTTAATGATATTTGCAACAAACTATTTCAGAAGGACCAAGGAATTAGTAGCTACTGAAGATAACTAGTTATCTTCAGAATACAGAAAAGGGATGAGGAATCCGAGAAAGAAATATGTGCACAATATAATTCATGAATTATATTATATTTACAAAAACTAAATAAAAAAAATTACCTAAAACAGCAATTTATCTTTAAAAAATATTTAATAATTTATGTTATTTGATGTAAAGTTGTTATGTTTATATTGTATGTCCAATAACTATGGTCCATGTGTGCAATTACTGTATAAAATGTCCAATTAATATACTTTTTTGCATGTTTTTATAAGACTAGCTATTATTAAAAATTCAAATATTCTTATTTTTAAGTAAATTTGTCCAAATAAAATTTAATGTTAATAGAAATGCAGATACACTGTCCAGGTACCCCAGGTCATGGGTCACTATTACTGGACAATACGGCCGGAGAAAAAGTTTCCCATGTTCTCAATAAAATTTTCGAGTTCAGACTACAAGAAAAACTTAAATTAGAGAACAATCCCGATTTTACCATTGGCGATGTAACAACAATCAACCTGACAAAACTGCAGGTATTTTACAAGATACATACACCTGGGTATTTAAGGAGACATGAAACAGATGTTGTCTTAAATACCCTGTATATTTTACTTTCGTATAGGGTGGCGTCCAAAACAACGTAGTTCCGCCAGAGTTAACTTTCACAATAGACTGCAGAATTCCTGTGACAGTTGATGTGGTCCAATGGGAAGCCACTGTGAACCAGTGGTGTCGAGAGGCGGGTTCAGATGTTTTTATGGAATTTTGCCAAAAACAGCCGCAAATAGCGCCTACTAGGATCGACGCTTCTAATCCCTATTGGGTGGCGTTTAAACAGGCTGCGAGCAAAATGTATTTTTTATTTGTGTTGTAAGTTTTTGTATTAATGCATGATGTTTTTGTAGTGGGGTGAAATTGAGGACGAAAATATTCCCCGGAGGTACTGATAGCAAACACTTGAGAGGGATTGGGATACCAGTTTTGGGATTTTCGCCCATAAATAACACCCCCATTTTGCTACATGACAATGATGAGTTCCTGGGGGTCAATACATTCCTAAAAGGGATCGACATTTACATGGAGTTAATTGGTGCTGTTGCAAATGTACCTGAAAAATAAATCGGAAAGAAAAACACGATTGTATATGAAAAATCACATCTTTTATTTTACTATAACTTATTCTACAAAATTTGTACATGGACTTATTTAGTTACAAACTAGTTTACAAAAAATTTAAAAATAATATTATACACAAAGATAGTTCAGTTAGACTAAGAAGTGGCTTTATGTAAAATACACATTATTATTTACGAATGTGTGTTTTAAAGAAAGCATCATGTATGAAATAATCAGTCATTGTTCTAATTAAAATAACATTTTCTATAACCTACGATTTTTTCATGAACTGTTACTTTAAAGTTAAGTAAATTAAAATAAAACCTGTTTTGTATTAAGGGAAGTATGGTCATAAGCACCAGTTTGATTTTGACCACACTTCCAAAAATCGTTTCCGCCTTCCATTTCAAAAATAAAAAACGAAAACAATGATCCAATTGTGGCCGAATGCAGAGTTAAGATAACGAATTGCGTCAACACTGCATACGGCCATTAATGTAACAGGCCACAAAAATAATTATCACATTGGCATAATTAAAGACGAAAAAATAAAGACACAAACTTGATTGAACAACTGGTCCCATGTTGAGGAAACGACCCAGAAGCAAGTTTAGTTGGAGTTACAAGTTTTGGAGACAAGGCACAGTTTGTACAATTTTTTATCTCCATCATTTAGATTTTAATCCACTGATATCATGCCGAGTTTAAGTAAAAAAAAGCAGTATAAAAATATTTTTTTGACACCGATAAACCTCTTGATACTAATTTGCCATCGATTGCACTTCAGTTGATATCAGTGGAGTAAGTTTCAATTTAAATTATGAAGAGAATTTCGCCAACGGTCATCCATGTTTGCAATACTGTTTACGGCTTACACTCTTTTATTTGTTACATTTTCGCAATGTGGAAAATAGAAACGCAAAACATAAAAAAATAATGTGAATGCAACCAAAAATTATTTATTCCCTAGTTTAAAATAGCTGAGCTTGGCAGTCTTCAAGTAATGGATAAAAACGAAAACACGATAATATTCGATACTTTCTCGAGAAAATAAAAAACCGCATAATACGTTTTAAGAGATACTTACACGAGCAGGAAAATGCGTTATTATTATATCATATTTTACTACATGACAATGACGAGTTCCTGGGGGTAAACACATTCCTAAAAGGGATCGACATTTACATGGAGTTAATTGGTGCTGTAGCAAATGTACCTGAAAAATAAATCGGAAAGAAAAACAAGATTGTATATGAAAAATCACATCTTTTATTTTACTATAACTTATTCTACAAAATTTGTACATGGACTTATTTAGTTACAAACTAGTTTACAAAAAATTTAAAAATAATATTATACACAAAGATAGTTCAGTTAGACTAAGAAGTGGCTTTATGTAAAATACACATTATATTTACGAATGTGTGTTTTAAAGAAAGCATCATGTATGAAATAATCAGTCATTGTTCTAATTAAAATAACATTTTCTATAATCTACGATTTTTTCATGAACTGTTACTTTAAAGTTAAGTAAATTAAAATAAAACCTGTTTTGTATTAAGGGAAATATGGTCATAAGCACCAGTTTGATTTTGACCACACTTCCAAAAATCGTTTCCGCCTTCCATTTCAAAAATAAAAAACGAAAACAATGATCCAATTGTGGCCGTATGCAGAGTTAAGATAACGAATTGCGTCAACACTGCATACGGCCATTAATGTAACAGGCCACAAAAATAATTATCACATTGGCATAATTAAAGACGAAAAAATAAAGACACAAACTTGATTGAACAACTGGTCCCATGTTGAGGAAACGACCAAGAAGCAAGTTTAGTTGGAGTTACAAATTTTGGAGACAAGGCACAGTTTGTACAATTTTTTATCTCCATCATTTAGATTTTAATCCACTGATATCATGCAGAGTTTAAGTAAAAAAAAGCAGTATAAAAATATTTTTTGACACCAATAAACCTCTTGATACTAATTTGCCGTCGATTGCACTTCAGTTGATATCAGTGGAGTAATTTGCAATTTAAACTATGAAGAGAATTTCGCCAACGGTCATCCATGTTTGCAATACTGTTTACGGCTTACACTCTTTTATTTGTTACATTTTCGCAATGTGGAAAATATAAACACAAAACAAAAAAATAATGTGAATGCAACCAAAAATTATTTATTCCCTAGTTTAAAATAGCTGAGCTTGGCAGTCTTCACGTAATCGATAAAAACGAAAACACGATAATATTCGATACTTTCCCGAGAAAATAAAAACCGCACAATACGTCCTAAGAGATACATACACGAGCAGGAAAATGCGTTATTTACAAGTTTTATCACCAATCTACACAGCTCACAGCTTCACTTTTCAGATGGGACACGAAGTACTCCGGTACTTTTCATCAAACATCCATCCATCCTTCGTAATACGAATCGATTAATTTTGTATTATGAAGGTCCGTCTCCTTTTGTTGTTCATCGTGCGCTCGTACTCGAGCAGTTCCTTCTGCGCGAGCGCCATCTCCACTCGCAACAGTTCTTGCTCGTCGTCCATGTCTTCGTACATACCGTCCGACACCTGAAAAGAATAACCCCGACTGTTACGAACGTATGCTTTAAATGTTAAATTTAAAGTTAAGGGGTCAAAAACCGATTTTTTTAACACTTTATAGTTATTGGACAATTAACATTAATACTGTAAAAACAAGAGTTCTATAAAGTCAAATCATTAGATGACGCTGTATACAATAATTGTTATAACTATCTCAGTCGGTAATAATATAGAACTACTTTATTTTGGGTCCAATATAGGACAAAAAAGTTCGCTCGTTACTTTGGTGGTAAGATTTTTGTTTTTTTGTTAAGAGCAGGGCTGTGTTTAAATTACAATAAAAAATATTTCTAAAAAGTGTACAGATCAGTGTGTGTGTGGTATAAATGTGTTCCTCATGGTTTAAACATTGTCACTTTAATTAGTTTTAATTTTAATTCTGAAAACAAACAGTAAAATGGCCAGTGTCCCATTACTGGTTGGTAAAAAATGTAAATTTCTATTATTGGACATATGTTCAATATCATACTCTATTTGTATCCCGGACATTTACCAGCCAATTCTTATGTGAAATTGTCCCCTGAATCCGAAAAGACCGTCAAAAACTATAAAAGTTTAGCAGTTTTTATGATATAGTCAATTCCATATTATATGTAAAATTGATTATATTTCAAAAACTGTTCTACTTTTATAACTTTTGACGACTTTTTCGGATTCAGCGTATAATATTTCATAGGAATTGACTGCTAAATGTTGACGAGAATTATTAGTGGCTGCTTTTTCGCTATGACATTTTTGACTAATTCATTTTTAGAGAGAAGTAATATAGTGATTTCTTCATCACAGGATATCTTGCAGAATAACAGTGATTGAAATACAGTGCATGATAGAGAACATAAAAAACGAATGGCAACAAAATTAATAAATTCGGAAAATACTTTAAACATACCACCGAAAAAAATATTAGATAAATCATCCTGTTCTGGCCTAAACATTATAAATGCTTCACAAACTAGAGATACCACAATTAATGATATTTGCAACAAACTATTTTTTTTGCAAAACCCTTATTTTAGGAAGGGGGTGATACTATGTACTAATATGTTTTTTTTTCATCAAGATCTGTTGGGCGGTTTTCGATATATCATGCTCACCGCAAAAAATAATGAAGAAAAGACCTGTAAAAATATTGAAAAACTGGTAATCTTTTCTAGAACATTGAAAATATTTCATTTTCCCTAATTGAAAATTTTGACTGATACTAAAAAAATTTTGTTAAATAATTTGGTAGAGGCAACAAAAAAATCATGTGAATTGAATATAGTAATTACAATTTCCTAATAATGCATAATTTATTGAATTATTGAACAAATACTAAAAATTGTATTGTCACTTTTTTATTAAAACTCTTTATTTGCATTTTTATTTTATTTCCAAATTTTCAAGAAATAAATGCGCAAATTTTAGTCGGAAAAATTTAAATTTTTGCTTTATTGAATAAATAAAAGAAAGAAAACGTAAAAATAGACAAATGGTACTAAGAAAAAATGAAAAAAAAATAATTTCTGAAGATCCTAAAACTTGACTTACCTCGATGTCTAGATCGCTGACGTCCCCATTTTCTTTGATTGTTTGCACGTTGATAAATTGATAGTTGGGCTTTTCCACCCGTTCCGGTTCCTGTTCGGAATCGGAGCCCTCTTCGCTTTCCGCGCTTCCGCACGAATCTCCAAAGTTGTCCCCTTCGTCGTAGCTGCACGAGAATTTCAGTTCGCCGCGTTCCAAAGCTTCCAGATGTTCTGCGATAAAGCGATAAAAAAATTAGCATCGCGTCGCTCTTTAATTGAGACTGGCTGCGCTTTAAACATTTTGAAAAATTTTGGGAAAAATAAAGTATGGAAATGAATTTCTTTATTTAAATAAAAACAACTCTACACTGTACTTGAAAAATAAGAAAAAAAATAATATTTCTTTTTAATAAAATTAAATGCGAGGTAATTTAATTACTACTTTTGTATCTGAGGTATACTTGTATACACAAGTAGAAATCTAAGCACTCTATTAATTTTATTTCAAAAAATTGGTTAAAAAACTAGGCCCAAATCAAATGATGTTATATTTATATTTTAAGAAAAAAATGTTAACCGTTTAGTTAATAAGTAACAAAAATTGAATCAGTAAGATTAATAACAGTACAAGTCCAAAAGTAAAATGTTTGATAACATATTTCAAAAAATCAGTTTTATATTTCTAAATGCATTTTTGTTAGAATATTTTAACTATTTTATGAAATATATTATTCATATTCTGTAAAATAATTTATATATTCTCACAAAAATGTATTTTAAACTTAATTTTAGAAAATGAATTAAATTTTTGGATTTGTACTGTTCTTATTCTCACTGATTAAATTGTAATGTGGATCTTAAAAATCTCATAAGAAAATATGAAGTTTGCAAAATACAGCAAAACATTCTTTAAATTGTTTACTATTTAAGCTGTCATTTAAAAGAAAATTAAAAACCCTTTTGTGTTATATAACACAGTATATAAATATTAGACTGGGCCAAAAAAATTAACTATTCTTTTTTTTAAAGTATATCGAAAATATGGTTTGGGGTGACAAAAAAAAATTTTGTGAAAGTTTGAATCCATAATATTAATTTTAAGAGGTCTATCATCGCAATTTTAATTTTTTTTTCCTCAGCAAGTTTTTGTCTCAGAACTCCGAAACTATTGAGTTTAACAAAATTGACTCAGAAATATTTTTTTAAGAAAATTAAATGTTCTACAAAAAAGGTTAAAATGAAATTTTCCGTCAGATGAACCGTTTCCTTAAAATCATGCCTAAAAAATTGGTATAGTTTTACATTTGATCTTAAGTTTGCAATTTTGTAATTCATGTAAAAATCAGTACCCAGAAAAAACCGATGAATATTCTAATGGGAAATCAAATGCTTTACAAAAAAAGCCTCTTAACATTTTTGGCTAAATTCACTTAATCAAAAGTTATTCAAGGTTAAAGTTGAATGAAATTCTTGGTTTTTTCCTGTAGATTTATTTTTTATGGGTAATAATTTGAATTTTGTTTTTATAAATGTCTATTATATAACTAATTAACAATTTCCAATAAAAAAACAACATGATTGTTAAATAGGTAACAGTGAAAATAATATTTTCTAAAGAAAATAGCTTCTTAAAGCTTAAAAACTCTAATGTGTTATTTTTTATTTTCGATATACTTTACAAAAAAAATATTCGATTTTTTGGCCCAGTCCAATAAATATGGCTAAAAATGACAATTTAAAAAGAATTTAATAAAATATATATTAAATTTTTAAAAAAGATTTTTTTTTAGTACGACAACTACCTTAATTAAACGCAGTCAGGTTGGCCTATTTAAATTTAATTTTTAGGATTTAAGGAGTTTTAGGAGATTGATGGTAATTTTAGGAGAATTCTATGAGTCTCACTATAAAAATGTTAACCGTTTAGTTAATAGGTAAAGTAGCAATAATTTAATCTAGTTCTAAATGCATTTTTGTTAGAATATTTTAACTATTTTATGAAATATAATATTCATATTCTGTAAAGTAATTTATATCTTCTCACAAAAATGTATTTTAAACTTTAAGATTGATTTTAAATGATTGAAAATAAATTGTCAAAATTAAATTTTTGGACTTGTAGGTACTGTTCTTATTCTCACTGATTCAATTGTAATGTGGATCTTAATACTTAAAAATCTCATAACAATTGTATAATTGTCACAGGCAGAAATACCAATAAATACCAAAAAAGAGTAACCAATAAAGTATTTTAAAATAAATACGGCTAAAAATGACAATTTAGAAGTCTAGGACTTGGATTTTGTTTTCAGGTATATTTTGTTGTTTTTTAGGAAAAATGTTGGTTAACATTCATCATTTTAAAAAGAATTTAATAAATAGAACCTAAAAATATATATTTTTTAAACCACTTTTTAAAAAAGATTCTTTTTAGCACGACAACTACTTTAAGGGTATATCCACGAAACCTTACCCCACCTTGACAAAAAATCAGATGTGTTATTTAACAAAATAACAACTATATCTGAAGTCAAATAGTTTAATTGCGACGTAATTTATAACCTTAAAATATTCGTACATTGTGATGCTAAGAAGCTAACATTAAGAATAAACACGGAAGAGTTTCAATACACGATAAAATGTTCAAATGTCGCACCCGTTACACGTTTCTAAGGTCCGCTATTCATGACGTTATAAAAGGTTTTCTATGCAAGTTTTTATTGACATTTAGTTTGAGTTAAATACCTAATTTTTCATACTATTTTTTTATATTAACGTATCTTGATATATATGAACAAATACTTTATTATCGTGAAAAGACGCAGTTTTAGTGTTGCACCCGTTACAATGGAAATACCCTTAATTAAACGCAGTCAGGTTGGCCTATTTCAATTAAATTTTTAGGATTTTAGGAGATTGATGTCAATTTTAGGAGAATTTTAGGAGTTTTCAAGATTTAAGCCAAATTTTAGGAATTTTCTAGGGAATTTTATGCTAAACCCATTTAAATTTTTATTTGTTTTACGAAAGCAGTTTGGCCCAAACTGTTTGGGACATATCTCGAGCTAGAAACGGCCAACCTGGTCGCAAAAGGTGTCAAACAAAACATAATCACTCACCTGGATTGACCATGGCCTTTTTGATGGCGTGCGGGTCCTTCCTCGACCACTTCTGCACCTCCTCGTCCATCTTGCTGATCTTGGCGGGGTTCATCGCCCACAGGCAGCCCTTCCTCTGCGCGCCGTTCAGCGCCGGCTTCTCGATCTTCTCGAAGCACTTGTTCAGCGACAGGTTGTGCCTGACGGAGTTCTTCCAGCCGTTCGGCGCCGTCTTGAAGTACGGGAAGTGCTTGCACATGAAGTTGTAGATCTCCGACACCGGCAGGCTGCCGTTGCGGCTGTTCTTCAGCGCCATCGCGATCAGGCAGCTGTAGCTGTACGCCGGCTTCGGGAAAGCCTTCTCGTTCGCCTCTTCGACGAGATTCGCGCTGTACAGTCTGCCGCCGCTGTTGCTTAACTGCTTGCGGTTCAAGTTGGCGGCGGCTATCGTGCGCACCGTTGCCATGTTGCTCACCTAGTAAACAAGGAAAAGTTCGGTCGAAAAGTTGGAAAAGTTCGGTACCTCCTATGAAAAGTTGGAAAAGTTATTAGGTGGGAGCCAATGAACAATGAGTCGACTTCTAACCAGTGTTTCCACTACCATAAAATTTTTTTGGTAGATAATGGGGTAGTTGAATTTTTTCTGACCTATACTTTTTATGGTTTTATTCAAGGCGTTTTGTAATTTTAAATATTTCTGTGAAATCGGAATTTCAATTGAGTTTACCGTTTTCGAGATATTTACAATAAAAAATCTCCTAATTACGTCACTAGGCTATTGACAACGTTGCCAGCTTTTTCTATGGTTGCCAGTGTCTTTAGTTTAAAATTATCACGATAGATGGCGCCACGTTATAATATTTTAGTTTTAAAACCACTTGATCTATAATTTTAGTTGGGAAGAAGAAGAAGAATTGATTTTTTGACGTTTCTTTTTTTCGGGTTATGGTTTTTTTTAAATTTAGATTATTGAAAATCAATGTTATTGTTATGTTATTTGTAATTGATATTAGATAAGTGATTTATTAATAACGGACTCCAAAGCAGAGGAATCTTGTGGAATGGTTGGTTACATTGAACATTGGAGCTTTTAAACAAATAAAGTATAAATAATTTTAATCAAAATGCCTATTTGTAGACCCTGCACTATCTTTACCTACTATATACGTTATTGCAGCAATATTTAAACCAGAATTGTTGAAAAGTACAAAAATGTACTCTAGAGCGTAGTATCTTCGAGCAGTCCAAAAGTTTGTCATACATTTTTTTAATCTTACAAAAGGTTTTGATGCTCATCATCAGGGATGCAAGTTTTATAAAAACTATACACAAATATCATAAATACCATTGTTAACTTACATTTACTGTTATTTTTTGTAAATTTATTTCATTCATTTTCAGCTTTATTTTGCCACTTTTTTCTATGAAATATATTAAACTCTGCTTTAGACAGTTATTAGGTACCTATTTATTACATTTTATTAGGTTTCACACGGTGTTTCAATGTGTAAACCTATCAATAAAACTTTTAATTTCAGAATTTTCTTTAACCTCCTCTTCTTCTTCTTTCACTCAACTGACAGTGACAGTATTTGTACATAACCTCTTCGGGTATTTTCTGACATAACCGAATGAAATCATTAATAAGACAACTTGACAACAGGGTAATTTTCAACCAATAGAAATCTTAGAATGTTGGTCACATGGCGAGGTTTGTGACGTCATAAAAATTTATATTTTTTGTAAATATCTCGAAAACGGTAAACTCAATTGAAATTCTGATTTCACAGAAATGTTTAATATTACAAAACGCCTTGAATAAATAAAAAAATTGAACTACCCCATTTGGTCAAAATTCGATATAAATCGCTAGATTTGAAGTGTTTTTAGTAAAACATGCAAAAGCATTGTTTTTTGGAATAACATTTTGTCAAATTTTATCAAAAATGGTGTCTGCTAACAGCATTTTCTATTATATAAAGATTCTTTTATTATAACGTATTTTAAATTTATACACAGTATAAAAAAATATTATTTTTTTTAATTATGGAAATTTGCAAGTGAAAATATAAAAGTGGAAAAGAAGAAAGTTTTCTTTTCTTTTTCTTTTTAAATTTTTACTTGTAAATTTCCATAATTTTATTTTGTATGTGTTTTTTTATGGTGTGTATAAATTTCTATTCCTTTTTACTTTAAAAATATGATTTTTTTAATTCAAACCTAGTTTATTTTTGTTGTTATTATGTTGTCTGTTCATTTTATTTTGTTTGATTTTTTTTTGTTATTTTGTTATGTACATATAATAGGGTGATTCATTTCCGCAAAGTTTTTGTTTTTTTTCGGTGCTCAAGCAAAATATTAATCTGCATATAGGAAAAAACATTCTCACCAAGTTTGAGATCTTAATATTAATTTTAAGCACTTACTATTTAAATTTAAAGTTTTACCGTTTAAAATGCATGTAAAAAATATATATATTTTTTCAAATTTCTAATCGGTTTAATACACCTTATGGGGAATTTCACGCTCTTTAAAATTGCTTTTGAGTTTTTTTTGTAACTCGCATTGGTTCACCAGTAGGAGTCGTCAAAGGACAGTTTTTGAAAAAAATCGGTTTTTTATTTTTTCGAGCAAATCGCCAAAAGTAGTGAGAAAAAAGGGCCGATTCATAAAAAAAAGTTATCCAACCAATATTTAATGAATTTACTGCCATTTTTATAACTGAAAACGTAAGAAATTGATAAATACCAACCCATAATGTTATTTAGATTGATTTTTTCTATTTATTATCATTATATTTCCCTACACTAAGAAGTTTTTTAAAATTATTGATTTCTAACTTATAATGAATATAAAAACAATAGATAAATTCATAAAAAAACAAAAAGGAAAATTGTAATGTGGATTTTGCAATTTTTCAACATTTCTGTCATATAGCAAAAAAATATAAATGAAGATTATTTAATTTTTTGAAGCGAAATTTGAAATATGTTGCATAACCTTCTGTATATTCCGATTAAAGTTTTGTTGTTTTTTTATGAATTTATGTGTTGTTTTCATATTCATTATGAGTGAGAAATCATAATAATTTTAAAAAAGTTCTTAGAGTAGGGAAATATAATGATAATAAATAGAAAAAATCAATCTAAATAACATCATGGGTTGGTATTTATCAATTTCTTATGTTTTCAGTTATAAAAATGGCAGTAAATTCATTAAATATTGGTTGGATAACTTTTTTTTATAAATCAGCCCTTTTTTCTCACTACTTTTGGCGATTTGCTCGAAAAAATAAAAAAAAACGATTTTTTTCAAAAACTGTCCTTTGACGACTCCTACTGGTGAACCAATGCGAGTTACAAAAAAAACTCAAAAGCAATTTTAAAGAGCGTGAAATTCCCCATAAGGTGTATTAAACCGATTTGCAATATTGTCAAAGGTGGGTAAGCATTAGAAATTTTACATGCATTTTAAACGGTAAAACTTTAAATTTAAATAGTAAGTGCTTAAAATTAATATTAAGAGCTCAAACTTGGTGAGAATGTTTTTTCCTATATGCAGATTAATATTTTGCTTGAGCACCGAAAAAAAAACAAAAACTTTGAGGAAATGAATCACCCTAATGTATCTTTTTCAACTTTTCCGAACTTTTCCGAAAAATAAAACCCAACTTTTCATGAAAAGTTGCAACAATATGCTCACCTGCGCCACCGTGATCGGCGTGCCGGCTATTATCGGCACCACCTGCCTGGAGACGGTGTTTCTGAAGGTGAGCAGAGTCGGCGGTTTGGAGGTGATCGTTTTAACGGCCGGTTTCGACATCAACGGCGTCACTTTGGTTATCGCTTTGAAAATCGGCTTTCTCTCCTCCACGTCGTCCATTCTGTTGCTCAAATCTTTCTTCACGCTGTTGACTTCCTGCTTGATCGAGGATATTTTTATGGTGGCGGGCGAGAACGTTAAGTGGCTTTCTTTCAGCGTGGGCGACGGGCTGCGCATGCTCTGCGCCAGGGACATGATGGGCATGACGGCGTTCGGGTTGACCATCGTGGGCCCGTCTTCGCCGCCGAAGTCGAAGTTCAAGCTCGAGTTCGAGTGGTTCGATTGCGAGGAGAACCACTTGATCTCGTGCACGTCCTCCATCTCCAACGGCGAGAGGTCGTTGAAGTTCAAGCCGGAAAAGTCGTTGTGCCCGCCGACCAGAGTGTCGATTTCCGATTTGATGTCGATGTCGAAGATGTCGGGGAACGACAGCGAGTCGGTCGCGCTCAAAAACATGTCCATCGCAGCAGACATGGCTCTATATTTCTACAAAAACAAAATAACACTCAAATTAAAAACTATCAAGTATTTTTTCTAAAATCTTAGGGAATTGTTTTTTTTTAAGAATAAATATACCAGGGCTCCCACGGCTAAATTACAAATTTTATTTAGGAATTTAGGAGTTTTTTTGTAAAATTTTAGGAGAAATAAAATACGGAAATTAATTTCTTTAATTAAATAAAACCAACTCTTTACTACTTAAAAAATAAGACAAAAATTAATACTTCTTTTGTAAAAATAAGTTATATTGACTAGTTTTTTAGAAAAAATGGTTGACGAGTTTTTTTAAATAAAATTAAAAGTGAAGTAAAATTAAAACTTTTGTATACAAGTATAAATTTCACCACACTTTTAATTTTATTTAAAAAAATGCGTCGATAGATTTGGCTAAAAAACTAGGCCAAAATCAAATGATGATTTATATTTTAAGAACAAATATGTTAACCGTTTAGTTAATAACTAACAGTAATTGAATCGGGAAGATTAAGAATAGTCCAAAAGTAAAATTTTTGATAAAATATTTCAAAAATCAGTTTTATAATTCTAAATGCATTTTTGTTAGAATATTTTAACTATTTTATGAAATATATTATTCATATTCTGTAAAATAATTTATTTCTTCTCATAAAAATGTATTTTAAACTTTAAAATTGATTTTAGAAAATAAATGGTCAAAATTAAATTTTTGGACTTGTACTGTTCTTATTCTCACCAATTCAATTGTAATGTGGATCTAATTACTTAAAAATCTCATAAAAAAATATGAAGTTTGCAAAATCCAGCAAAACATTCTTTAGATTGTTCACTATTTTAGCTGTCATTTAAAAGAAAATTAAAAATCCTTTTGTTTGATATATAACAAACGAAATATGGCTAAAAATCACAATTTTTGTTTTGTTGTTTTTTAAGAAAAGAAAAATTTTGGTTGTGATATATCATTTTAGCACGACAACTACCTTAATTAAACGCAGTCAGGTTGGCTTATTTAAATTTAATTTTTAGGATTTTAGGAGAGAATTTTCAAGATTTAAGCCAAATTTTAGGAATTTTATGAGTTTTAGGAGGTGTGGGAGCCCTGATATACCTACTAGACTGGGCCAAAAAAATCAACTATTTTTTTTTTTGAAAAGTATATCGAAAATATGGTTTGGTGTTACAAAAAAAATTATTGTAAAAGTTTGAGTCCATATTATTAATATTAAGAGGTCTATCATCGCAATTTTAGATTTTTTTTCCTGAGCGAGTTTTGGTCTCAGAACTCCCAAATCATTGAGTTTAACAAAATTGACTAAAGAATATTTTTTGAAGAAAATTGAATGTTCTACAAAAAAGGCTTAATTGGAATTTCCCATCAGATGAACCGATTTCTTACAATCATGCCTTAAAAATTGGTATACTTTTACATTTTGATCTTTAAAATTGGAATTTTGTAATTAATGTAAAAATCAGTACCCTGAAAAAAAAACGATAAATAATCTTATGGAAAATCAAATGCTCTCCAAAAAAAGTCTTTTATCATTTATGGCTAAATTCACTCAATCAAAAGTTATTCAAGGTTAAGTCAAAACGAAATTTTAACCTTGAATAGCTTTGATTGAGTGAATTTAGCCAAAAATGTTAAGAGGCTTTTTTTGTAAAGCATTTGATTTCCCATAAGAATATTTATCGGTTTTTTATGGATAATGATTTTTACATGAATTACAAAATTCCAATTTAAAAGATCAAAATGTAAAACTATACCAATTTTTAAGGCATGATTTTAAGGAAACGGTCCATCTGACGGAAAATTTCACTTTAACCTTTTTTGTAGAGCATTTAATTTTCTTAAAAAAATATTTTTGAGCCAATTTTGTTAAACTCAATGGTTTGGGAGTTCTGAGACAAAAACTTGCTGAGGAAAAAAATATTAAAATTGCGATGATAGACCTCTTAATATTAATAATATGGACTCAAACTTTCACAATATTTTTTTTTTGTCACCCCAAACCATATTTTCGATTTACTTTTCAAAAAAAAATAGTTGATTTTTTTGGCCCAGTCTAATACCTACACCCAGATTTTAATAAAAATTAAAAAAAAAACTATAAGAGATAAGCTATGATAGGAATTAAAGTAATTTTAATTTAATCCATTTAAGTTAATTTTTAAATGTATTTGTAGAACGTACACTGCCCGTCAAAATTAACGCATAATAAGTAAAAAAAATTCTAACTCTAAAACACCTTTACCAATCTTTATGAAAAATTGTGTAAAAATACCTCAACTTATATCTCAGTTTACGTGTTTGAGGGTTTTTCGAGAAAATATAAAAAAAAACGTTTGAAAAATAACTTTTAGGGAATTTTTTTTAAGTAAATAAAAAATATGCTGTTAAAGACCGTATTTTTGTTAGTATACCCTGAAAATTTTGTACAAATCAAACGAACAGTAACGAAGATACAGCGCTTCAAAGTCGGTAAAAATAACCTTTTTGGTTATTTTGTTGAAAAGTGGTCATTTTTGACGAATTTGAAGCGCTGTATTTTTGTTACTGTTTGTTTGATTTATACAAAATTTTCAGGGTATACTAACAAAAATACGGTCCTTAATATCATATTTATTATTTACTTAAAAAAAAATCCCTAAAAGTTATTTTTCGAACGTTTTTTTATTATTAAATAAAAGGGCTTTAAAACTATTTTCTCGAAAAAACCTCAAACACGTAAACTGAGATATAAGTTGAAGCATTTTTACACAAATTTTCATAAAGATTGGTAAAGGCGAGAAAGATTTTTTTTTATCTATTTTGCGTTAGTTTTGACGGGCAGTGTATTTTAAGAATTCTCATATGAGGAATGAATGACTAAGTCAAGCAAATCACAAAACTTTGAACTTTTTAACAGGTATTTATGGAGTCGTCCTTACTTATATTATTTTTTTAATATATTATGAAAATACATACACAATTTAAACAAATGTTCCGCATGTAAGTACTATCAACACTAATGGGAAAAAATAACATTAAAAAGTGAATAACCTATTTGAAAGTAATTAGATTAAATTAACTATTTTTTACTGCGATAACATTAAAATTTACAGTATTTAATGTAAAAACGTTGTTTACAATATAAAATATTCATAGGCTATTTAAAGAGTACACCAGTGGCGGTTCGTCAGGGGCGGCCAATTAAATTAAAATTGAAAAAGTGACGTTGAGACAGTCACAGATAAAATAAAATTGGCTTCAAATTCTTTAATTGTTCATAATTTGTGTTTCCATTATGAATATTTCTTGCAGTAGTTGAATAAAATATTGTTTGCGACTATTGGTTGAAATAGGAGATTTTACTCGAGTGTTGCCGCGCTCGAGGAATCTCCTATTTCTCCCATTAGTCGCTATTTTACTATTTTCATATCTACAATAAAATTTATATTTTTTTTTAATTATATTTTAATTTGGATTTGAAAAAGTCCAATAATATTATGTTAATAGGTATATTATGTAACAAGTTTTATAAACGCCATTTTAGTTACGAGTTTAATTAAACACAAAGTTGCATACTATACTTTATCTACGACGAATTTTATGCCAATTTTATTTCATAAATATTTGACATCTGGGCCATTTCAAGCCTGCGGACGGGACAAATCACAAAACTGTTTTTATAAAAAAAATGGTAAAGTTCATTTTTTTTATCTGGACTGCGCAACGTTGCGAATTTAGTGTTTTGGTTGGTAAATACAGTTGTCAAGTTGGTCGCATTGATTAAAACAAACTAAGCTAGTTATAAATCTAATTGTGGTTATGTATAAATTATTGTAGGTTACATTGTGCAGTTGTCAAGTTGAGTTGTCGAAATTCGTAGTTAAAAATGCAATTAATTTGGCTTTGGTGGTGCTTGGATGAGTAAAATCATAAAAAAGTAGTTAAATATAAGTTGCTTTACGGTCCAGAAGAGAAAGTATTCCTAGCGGATAATAATCTTCGCTTTGAAAAGAATTTATAAAAAAATAAAACTTTTTGTGAACGTAAATGTTGTCCAATGGTGAATTATGTGAAAATAATGTGTAATGTAATATTTATAAAACCAAATTCGTTACTTTTTTACTCCAAAAATGTCTATAAGGCGATTTACTTTTTTTTCCATTGTGGCATTTGGCATAATTTCATCAAAATGAAGTTTTGCCCTCGAAAGGGCTTTTACATTCGAATTCGTTGCTATTATTTTTGGCATAATTATCTTTTTATTTATAATTGACAAGTAAATTATCAATAATAATAATTATTGTCAATTTGACAGTGTCAAAGTATTTAATTAAATTCTTTAGCAGAAGTACCATTTTTAAATACTAAAAATACTAAGTCAAACTGGCATAAGCCACCAACCTAACAAAAAAACACGAGTCCAGATAAAAAAAATGAACTAATTTATTATATTATATTTTGGCATAAAAATTGTCAAACATATTATTCTTTTATTAGGCTATACATTAAATAAAAAAAACTCAAGAAATATTTTATAAAAGTAGAGATAATTTTAATAATTGACAGGTGTGGACGGGACAAGATAAATTTTATTATTAAAATTATCTCTACTTCTATAAAATATTTCTTACATTTTTTTATTTAATGTATAGCCTAATAAGAAAAGAATATTTTTGACAATTTGTATGCCAAAATATTATATAATAAATTATGTACAATTTTTTTTATAAAAACAGTTTTGTAATTCGTCGTTTCGCGCGCCTGAAATGGCCCATCTGAAGAATTTAACCTCAATTTTCCCAATTTATAATAAAGCTAATTTCAGCCCGTGACTAAAATTCCCAAAAGCCATTGTTGCTAACTTCAGCATGTGGCTAAAACGCCATAAAGTCACAGCTTGTTATTTGTGGGTAGTACAAAAAAATCTAGGGGTTAATCCCCAATGCCAGAAAGGTTATTTTTATGACGAAACTATTTTTTTTGTTTTTTTTGTCTTATTGTGTATTTCATACATATTATGTATTGTCTTTTAGTATTTTTTTTTGTGGCGCTACAAATATTTCAGAGTATGTTTTTAACAATATAAATGATATTTTGTCCTTTAATACTGTCTACAATATATATTATATTAAGTACTAAGGGGCCGCCACTGTTGTGAATATAAATAATTTTGCCATTATTTATTTGTATGTGTTATCGCTCTAACCGAAATAACTTTTTCAAACTGAAACACTCATAAAATTGTATTTCAATTCGTGAGGAAAGTTTGCTTACTCAAATTTTGTAATTGAAACAAGTTTAATGGCGTTAAATTATCACGCTAGACTTGATCTAATATTTTATGTATAGTTATAATGTTGTAGAAAGGTTCACAAGGGAATATTCGTTCTACCTGTATGTCTTAAGTTATACTGTCAGCAGGGTCGATCCGGAGGTAGCGAGGTAAAAAATACCGGGAATTTAAAATTGTGAAGGTGTAATAAATAACGTGGATTTAAAAATAAACCCAAGTGGATTTTGGCAAATACCCTACTAATTCATTAATCCTATAAATAAATTATTTGAGATGAAAACAAAGTCGAGCTGGGAACGGGTCTGGTCTGACAAGTAGTCAGGTATTATAAAACGACCCGTCCCGTTTCTTGCTGGCGGTCTCTTGGCGCGACTGTACCACCGGCAGATGGCCGACCAGAGAGGGGAGCGATATAGAGGGTGCCAAAGGGGCAATAATACAAATGCATATTGCTTTAATCGAAAACAAGAATTTTCATCTCGATATGCTAAATTTACCGAAATTAAGGTAAATAAATGTCTTCCCTTCAGGTAATTGGTAACAATGGGCACTTATTCTTACAACCAATCCATTGTATATATTTCTTCGAGCCAACTTCGATACAATAGGAGATCGTATACAAAAGAAACAACCCCAAACATGCATGTGAACCTGCTTAAGAATCCGTAAATTGTAAACAAAGTGGCAGGTTTTCCCGAATTCCGAATATTAATATAAGTTTTCAAGTAAAAAAAAAAAATTAGCCAGCCAAGAGGGCAACGCTTCCTTCCGTGAGATAGTTTCCATCGATATCAAAACTAATTTCCATTTGACCTTGAAGTATATTCTTCCCGCCCAGTGAGTTTTAATGAAATAACAAATTTATCCCTTTAATAATATTCAACGAAAACACCGAAATTTTACGTTTTCACACCGCGCCAATAGCAATAAATAATCTTAATAATAACTATAGGCTGAAAAACTGAGGTGGGTGTAACCATTACTGTTTGTTTATGATGTTTTGTCGGCCAATTGTCATGCGGTTTTCAGGAATAATTGTATTTTTTAACAAAATTATTAAAACATTTAATACACATTCAACAAATACCAAGTTAGAGTTATTGATAAGATAACATGCGGCTATACAAAAGAGCGGGATTGTTCGTTAGGACGAGTCCATTCTCCAGATAAATATTAAAAAATTGTTTTTGCCCATTACTCGCGATTTGTAACAGAAATGTCCACAATAAATACAACTAAAAATCACAAAATACTTACCGATTTAATTTCTGTAGTTATTTCGCCGTGTCCAATAGTATTTTCATCAAAATTGTGCATAAATAAGATTTTTAACACTTACAGCACCGTACACCTAACGAATGTATACAAAACTCGTAGTTGCCACAAAGGACGAGGAGGGAATTCAAATCGCGCGCTGCCTATTGGCTGTCGTAGGTCACGAGTGTTTCCCGCGCGTTTTCTATTGGCCGAGCCGGGACGTTGAAAAGACAAACATGACGTTGATAGACGATGCACATGGCGATGGCGCTTGACATTTAATTTAACCTATGTTTTGAGCGCCAGTAAACATTCGCCGAAAATTATGATTTTTGCAAATTAATCTGCGATTTTCGGCGAAAATTTTGATACCGCTCTCGCTACGTATTACATTGATGCTGGTTCAAACAAGAATGTATTAGTTTTGAGCCTTAAACGATTTTGCCGGGAATGTTATTGAAAGACTGTCATGGCAGACCGATTGTTTTCCAACGGAAATTCGCCATCCAAAACGGGATTTGCGCCTAAACGTGCGATATTTGGGCGAAATTAATTCTAAAAAAACGAATTAATGCATGTCCCATCCAATTCCACCCATAATTTCATTTTATTATGCCGGCAAAATCGATTTTTAAATGGACCGGTTCATTCGCGCATCAAGGGGAGGTCGGTGGTATTTCAATTCAAGAGACAAGCAGAGCAGTAATTCATCAATTACAATTGCGCCGGCTAAAGTAATTAAAAGGACTGATATTACACATAAACTACATAAATTCACAATTGTATAAATATTTATTTAATGATGAATAACTTTTAACGGTTTTTTGTCTTTTAAACGTTCGCCATTGCTTCGATTATTTTGCAATAAATTTGAATCCCTTTAAGAAACGTTTCGACGCCTAAATGTTCGTCGTGCTGATGCAAAAGGAGTTCGGTATTGTTTATGGCCGAAAATCCCAGAACCGGGATTCCCTTCGCTCTTAAAAACACCCCATCGGTTCGGCCTGGGCAAATTTGCGGGACTAATTTTAAGTTGCTAAAAACAAAACAAATATTTAACATGTTATGTCAGACGGTGAAACAATTGAAAGATGTGACAGCAAAATAGACGTTGCAAACATAAAACAAACAATTTTAAGTTTGTCTTTTAATGACCTTGAAGTTTTTTTAAACTTGAGGACATACTTATTCCCAAGACATAAGACGTTAAAAAATGGCTGGTTTTAAACAAAGGCAATTTTGGTTTGCCATACTTTTAGGGGCAGTTTAAAAACAATAAAATGAAGGCACCTTTTTATTTTTATAGGGGGCAAAAATCTACCTACTTTCAACACAAAAGATTTAGACATTTGTTAATCTTTTACACAATGACAATTTTGGAATTTCTAAACTTTCTAAACATTTGGCTGATTTGTTTTTAAAATGCTGGATAGAATAATAAAATATATGTAGGTACCTAACTAACAATTTTAAAAAACATTTATTTTAATAAAATTACTTAATAAAAATACCTAATATTTTTTTAATTATTCAACTTATAGAAGACAATTAATATTTCAACATATTTTATCTATGTTTATTGTAAATATCAATAAAAACTAATATTTTAGGTAAATTAACCAAAACTTAAGTAAAATAACGTTTTTTAAACTTATTTTTTAACAAATTAGTTGATTTAAGCGTTAATTTTTTTTAAATTATGAACTAAATAATAACTCTTTAAATTTACCAACCGGTAATTCACAGGTTATTTTTTAGTACAATTTAACTAGGTAAAACTACTTATTGGATTTTACTTACAAGTTAAATATGTTTTTTATTGTCTTTAAGTCTTAAAATAACCTACATTTTCCTTAGTTAAAAAGAAGGTTATTTTAGAAGTTCCATAACGTTATATTTACCTTAAAATTTAACCCACAACAATGATTATTTTTTAAGATATATTTTGGTTTAATTTGAATTTTAATATAGTCCATTCCATCAAAAAGGGAGGTCATTAATTTTTATTTATTTGTTAATTAGAAAAATAAGATAATTTAAAATTGAATTAATAAAACATAATATTGGACCAATATTTGATATTTGGTATTTAGTTGAATTTCAAACAAAATAGAGAAAAAAAGTTACAAAATTATTTTTGTATGATTAGAATTAATAAACAGAAGGTAAATATGTATATTAATAAAATGTAAATGTCTTTAAAAGTTAATTAATATTATAAAATTTATTAAATTAAATGAAAACAAAAAAGTACCTATTTCTAAAAAAAATAAACTAAAATATATTAGACCAATCAGGTTAGAATCAATAAAAAAATCGACTACTGTCGATCTAATCTAACCTCACTTTCTACTTTTAATAATTGTAGGTATGTTGGTTCATACTTTCTAACATTTTTAACGATTTGATTTCGCGTCCACTTTCTTTTATTGTCCAAGATGCATTAATAAAATACAAATAATAAAATTTAACCCTTAAGTACTAACGTGACGTCTACGAGACGGAAGTAAAGAGACTGGGTCATCTAAACCAAGCTCAGCCTTGTTATTTAAGGTTGACCATTTATCTACTTTTAAATAAGCCGGTTTTCAGTCAGTGTACCAAATTTGGCGAGGGTGTTAGGTTCTGCTCAACTTTTATTTGGTAAAATATATCGATCGCCGTCTAGGAGACGTCACATTAGTAGTTGCGTTACGGTTGGTTGCGATATTCTGGGACTCAAGGTAGAAGATAATTTACCAGAAATGAGAATTGAATGTTTAGCAAAAAGAAAAACTTGCTATACTTTGCCCTCTAAGAAAAAAAGACAAACTGCTTATGTTTGTTATACTTGTCAAAATCCTTTTTGTTTAGAATGCAGCAAGAAAATATGTATCGAATGTGCTCAGTCTATGTAGTTTTACCAGATTGTATTTTTTTATGTCGGTATTTTTTTTGTATTTTTATGTTTTTTTATGATTTACCTACCCATGTTAAGTTATTAGAACAATTTTTTTTTACGTTTACTAAATATTATAATGAAAAAAATTAATCCTAAGTTAATGTGTTAAAAAATTATATATTTTTTAAGATTTAAGAATAAATGTTTTTTTTTCAACATGGGCTTTTTTTTTACCAAACCTTTACAGTTGAAGGTATTCAGTATATGTTGTAGAAAGGTTATAATAAGTTTATGTTGTTAAAAATTAAAAACTATTATTTAAAAAGCCTGTTCAACAACAAACGTCTCTGAGACGGCACGTTAGTACTAATGTCATGAAATTGGAACGTTAGTAGTTAAGGGTTAAGTCAACTAATATTAATTTTAACGCTAGTTTTAGTATTTTAATCAGTTTTATAGTTCGAAAAATCATAATGAAATTTTTTTAGTTTTATTACAAAAATTTCTTTAATACAATGTTGTGAAAATGGCGAAATAACACGATGGTAAAATTGAGGTTAGGTAAAGATTTTTAGATTTTAACGACATATTTTTTAACTTTTTTGTTTATTAATTTTTGACAGATGCATACCTAACCTTAATTATTTGAGAAAAATGACTTAAAATGACTATTATTTAATTGTATTTAAACAAAAAATAACCCCATCTTGAAAATTACATATGTATTTATGTAAAAAAATCTGAGATAACAGAAAATTTTAACTTAACTTAAGTTTCAAATTTGAAATAAAAATATGTGCAAGGCCAGAAAAATCGCATTTTTGAGGGTCTTCTGTTACTTGAAAAGCTATTATTTGTTTATACAAAAACAGTACCTAATGTTTGAATTTTTATAAAGCACTTTTTACATAAAAAAAATTACGAAAAGTTAAAAAATAACTTATCTGAAATTTCACTGGAAATATCTTCTATCTACAAATAAAATTAAATTAAAAAACTCATTAAATAGTTTTTGTAATTTCTCGCGTTGAACATATAAAATAATAAAATAAAATTAAAAAAGTCATCAAATAGTTTTTGTAATTTTTCAGGACACTTTGTAGTTTAAAAATCATGTTCTTTATAAAAATTTTCTTCAAAATATTTTTTCATACCTTCTTTATTCAAAAATAAATATTTTGTCTTGCCAAAATTTCTCTTACAAATGCAAATAAGTTCATTGTTTTGCCTTTTTTACCTTAAACAACTCACCTATAAAATGATTTTTAGATACTTTCAATTCACCCACAAAATAACAAAAACACAAAACCAAAAATTTCACTGCCACATCAATTTTTTCATTAAAAAACATTTTTTTTATTTTTGTTATAAACTCACAGTGCCTCTGTCGCTTTTTTGAAAGCCATCCAATAGGGATTCTCATCGTTTAGTTTGGTAGCAGGAACCGGCAACCATTTCTCAACAAAATCTATTGTCACTCCGGAACCAGCCTCGGAACGCCAAGATTCGATCATTTTTTCAAAAGTTTTAAAATCCTCTTTCGGGGTCACCCTGCAGTCCAAACCGAATTTTATCTCTGCAGGAGTTACGTTTGTTTGAACACCTCCCTGTATAAACAAAATTAAATAAATTAATTACAGGGTATAAAAATTTTGATGTTTTTTTTTTTAATTTGTTTTTATTTCCCACAAGAATAGCTTTAATAGCAAAATACTAAAAAACGCAATGTAGCTGCAAAAAAGTAGTCACTTTTTAATCTTATAAAAAATATTAAGTTAAATATTATAATACATTAATTAAAATTATAAATGTCAAATAGGTTATTCTTTTTTTTTAAATATTTTTATATAAGATAATGAATTATTTATTTAATGTAATTTTTCTGTCTGCAATATTATTATGACATATTTAATATTTCTTATACAATTAAAAAGTAAAACGGCGTGCCATAATTAATATTATGTGTACACATTAAGTTAATGCACTAAATTTTTATTTTCTAAATAAAATTATGACTATATGATACAAATTTTAGAATTAATTTTATGAAAACTTAAAGATAATTTAAATCCTAGAAAAAGAATCGTGCGTTTTCTTGGTTGCCTAACCTCACTTTTTTTTTTATTATTCATATTTAATTTTACAATAATTTAATGAAAAATATTAAACATTAACAGTAAAACAAACAAATTAGTGCTTATTATAAATAAATTCAACCAGTTTAGTACGTTAATTTCTTAGAAAAGGATTAATTTGTCAAAACAATACCCCTAGCGAGAAAAAATCGAACTAATTACTTGCCTCATAAAAAATTTTATCGGCCTAGGCCATAACAAGGTATTTCTTTATCGAATGTTGACAACAATAAAGTTTAAATTATAGACCGCGTGGAGATAAAATTAATTATATAATTTTATGTGTACAGATAAAATTATTTCTATATTTCATGTTATAAATAAGAAATTGCAAATTAAAAAATAATAATGTTTTTAGTCTCAATAATTAAATAATAATAAATTTTAAAGTAAAAAAAATAAAGAACCTTATACGAAAATTTAAATGACGCAAATATTAATTGAAGTAAAAAAATAATATGGAAAATGTTTAAAAATATTTGTCAGGTAAAATACTTAAATGTTGCAAAAAAATGTGTATCAAATTAAAATAATTATTATTATAATTTTTATTTATAATACTTACATGTATTACATTAAGGTTAATGGCTGTAACATCCCCCATTGTACCTTTAAGATACTTCAATTTATTTTGTTCATTCCTTCTAAACTCATAAATTTTGCCTAGAATATAGGCAACCTTTTCACCTGCAGTGTCATTGACCAAAGCTGAACCATGTGTTGATATACCAGGGCAGGTCCAGTTCATATCTAAAATAAAATGTTTTATTTTATATTTTTTTATCAAGTTTATTAGGTAATTCTTACGCCACATGCATCTTTCATCATAGAATAGGGCAAATTCTTCATTTGTGGATGGCATCCCTTCATCAAGGGCACAACCAATGTTCAGTTTTTTAAATTCTTCAGTTTCCACAAAAACTTTCATTCCGTCTTTACCACCAATTTCTTCATCTTAAAAGTACAAAAATATTTCAATTTTTGTGTTTTTTTATAACTTTCTTACAATGATTTTAAGGACTGCAGTTTATAGTACTCCATCTGATATTTTTGATATTGTTAATATGATATGTATTCAATGATGGTTAGTTCTTTTATTATTTCTACATACCAGGCACAAAAGTGACATGTAAAGTGCATTCTAGAGTAACTTTATTTGACTTTAACATTCTTATTGCCTCTAGGTACCAAATACCAACACATTTCATATCTTGAGCCCCTCGACCGTAAACTTTACCATCGACTATTTCACCACCAAAAGGTTTTTGAGACCACATATCCTAGTTTTCAGTTATTGTTTGTTTTTAAGGTGATATTTTTTGTATTTTAATTGATTCTTACCTCATACACAGGAACAACGTCCATGTGGCTGTTCAGCATTATACTGGGCAAGTTTGGGTTTTTTCCTGTCCATGTCATAATGACTATGGGTTTTCCAGGCACCACGGTAACAATTTTAATGGGAAGGTCCAGGGATTTTGCCTGTTTTTCCAGAAATTTAACACAGCCATCTGTAAAGTTATGAATTTTCATTAGTTTTCAATAAAAAATTCTTTTTAAATAGTAGGTAGGTATATCTTTTACCCCATACTTATATCAAGTACCTATCCTTTTATTTATGGGTACTTATATTTTTTATTTGAAGAGCTACAAGGTTGTTTAAATTAAAGAAAAAATGCGTGATAACAGGTTTTTAAAAATAGCACTTGAAAATTGAAAAAAAACAAAATAAAATAATAATTTGGAAAAACTTAAAATCTGTAAAAACCAAAAATTGTTATAACTTGTTATTTCTGTAATTTAAAAAAAAAGGTTTTTACATGTAAACCTACACATTTATCTACATTTTCATCCAATTTGTAATTTTTTCACCTACTAGACTTTGCTTTTCTGTTATAACACCTTGTAGCTCTTTAAATAAAAAAATACCCATAATGTATAATCAACTATTTTTTTTTTGAAAAGTATATCGAAAATATGGTTTGGGGTGACAAAAAAAATTATTGTGAAAGTTTGAGTCCATAATATTATTATTAATTTTAATTTTTTTTCCTCAGCAAGTTTTAGGCTTAGAACTCCCAAACCATTGAGTTTAACAAAATTGACTATAAAATATTTTTTTAAGACAATTAAATGCTCTACAAAAAAGGTTAAAGTGAAATTTTCCGTCAGATGAACCGTTTCCTTAAAATCATGCCTTAAAAATTGGTATAGTTTTACATTTTGATCTTTTAAATTGGAATTTTGTAATTCATGTAAAAATCAGTACCCATAAAATACCGATAAATATTCTTATGGAAAATCAAATGCTTTACAAAAAAAGCCTCTTAACATTTTTGGCTAAATTCACTCAATCAAAAGTTATTCAAGGTTAAAATTTCGTTTTGACTTCAAATTTAACCTTGAATAACTTTTGATGGGGTGAATTTAGCCAAAAATGATAAAAGACTTTTTTTGTAGAGCATTTGATTTACCATAAGAATATTTATCGTTTTTTTTCAGGGTACTGATTTTTACTTGAATTACAAAATTCCAAAGTTAAAAGATCAAATTGTAAAACTATACCAATTTTTAAGGCATGATTGTAAGAAAAGGGTTCATCTGACGGAAAATTCCAATCAAACCTTTTTGCAAAGCATTCAATTTTCTTTAAAAAATATTCTTAAGTCAATTTTGTTAAACTCAATGATTTGGGAGTTCTGAGACAAAAACTCGCTCAGGAAAAAAAAAATCTAAAATTGCGATGATAGACCTCTTAATATTAATATTAACTTTCACCATAATTTTTTTTTGTCACCCCAAACAATATTTTCGATATACTTTCCAAAAAAAAAATGTCGATTTTTTTGGCCCAGTCTAATGGGCATATACATATAATATATTATATAATTTTTGATATATCATTTGATACGATATATAAAATCATACCTATAGTGAAGATTTAAACAAATCATTCATTGCCTTCGGTATAATTGTTAATTTATTAAAAATGAATACATATTTTGTTAAATTAGAATAAAAAAGACTAAAATGGTATTGATTAAACATAATATAAACTGAACACTGCAACTATTTTTTATAATTTTAAAACGCTGAAATATAGAAGATTTTCGTTAATTATAGAAGGCTTATATTAAAATTTAATATTTAATATAGAAGGCCTGGCTAGTAGCCTACCCTAGATAGATCAAAAAAATATTTTCAATCTGCCATTCCTAGTTGTCAGTGACCCTTATAAAAAAATCAATCAATGACATAAGCAAGCATTAGCTATTGATTTTCACAATAATAAGTCAAATTATCAAACTAAATAATGTTCCAATTAGTTAATAAAACATATTACCATTGGTACACAAAATAAAGTAAAACTTTGTGCATTAGGTGACCTCATAAATTTGTGTACAATTTATGGTGCAATATATTAAAGCCCTAACTAACTTCCGATATAATTAAAGAACAAATGAGTATTAAAACAAAAGCAACAATAAATAAATACCTAATCTAATAACAGAGTAATAAAACAAAAACGAAACAAATGAAGACAACGCCAGCAATGTGGCGTCATCAATTAGATTGCCATGATTTTAAGGCTTTATATCTAATTATTGCAATTACCTGAGTACAAATCACCTTCTTGAATAGCTAAATATGTAATTCAACTTAAAATACCACGTTTTTAATTAAAATACGAAAGAAAATCACGAATTATTGAACAAACTTCAATCCACACCCAACGCGAAGCCAAGCCACTTTGACAGACCAGTTTTGACACACTAATTTCACCAAAATCGGTAAAATTATTTACTCGAATAGCAAAAGAATGATTGTAAATTCACTTACCGTAATTTATTTCCGGATGGACCGAACGAATTTGCAGATATTCGCGAAAATTGTTGACAGCTTGTGCGTTCGACGCGTCCACCAAATCAGCTGATCGTAAAGACATCTTTCGACTTTTGGCCGAATTTCAGAAATGCACAAGCCACGCTTTCGGGACGTATTCTACTTTTATACGAAAATTATTATCTTTTATTCAAAAATTCCTTTGTCAAGAGGGATATCCTTTGCTTTATCAACGAAAACAATACATTCTACCAGACTTATCATTTTTTAGCTACCTATGGAGATAAGAAACAAAACCACCTTAAGCCAAAGAAAAACAAAACATATTTTTGCACAATAAAACAAATAAATCATAAAAAACAATGTAGAACAATTAAATAATAAAGAATAATTGGGATATTGTATTTCGCGGGTAAATTTTGAACTCAAAATCAGCTGTTTCGAGTGTTTGCCGGAAACGCGCAGGCGCGGTGACGCACGCTTGGTAAATTCCATAGACAAACAAAACATAGAAATAAATTAATACATCATTAACATTATGTATTATTATAATATATTCACATATTATTTATGCAGTTGTTCTTATTTCGACAAACGTAGCGTGCGATATAATGAAACTTTGATTTAGTTTTTTAATTAAGTACCCAACCACGCAACTTCCTTAATTATTTTAATATATCAACGGTTTCTTATAATAATTATGTGAGCCTTACACATTGTAAGGATGAATTATTGTTATGCACAAAAACAATGTTTAGAACAAAACAAAAACAAACAGCTAATGAACATAAATTGTTCTTTAAATATTACTAAATATTTCTTAAAATTATTTATGTAGGTATGACGCTTCATTGAAAAAATGACCCCAAAAACAACAATTTCAAAACTGGAAGTATTAAAACATAAGTAGGTAAATCTTTTTAACTGTGAAAGGGGCCCGAAGGTACTCAAAAGTAAAATCTAGATTGCGAATATTTAATTTTACGAATTATTATATTATGACAGAAAACAAATCTAAAAAATTATAACTTTATGAAAGCGTTTTTCTTTCAAAGTTTCTTTGGTTTTACCTTGCGTCATCAATTTTCATCAATTTAAACTCTTTTTGTTTTTTTTTTACAAATAATTATAATTCCTACTTAATTTGGTTGGTAAATACCACAAAACTAGTTTTGTGGTAAATACATGTACAACTGCAGTTGTCAAGTTGGTCGCATTGATTAAAACAAACTAAGCTAGTTATAAATCTAATTGTGGTTATGTATAAATTATTGTAGGTTACATTGTGCAGTTGTCAAGTTGAGTTGTCGAAATTCGTAGTTAAAAATGCAATTAATTTGGCTTTGGTGGTGTTTGGATGAGTAAAATCATATAAAAAAGTAGTTAAATATAGGTTGCTTTACTGCCCAGAAGAGAAAGTATTCCTAGCGGATAATAATCTTCGCTTTGAAAAGAATTTATATAAAAAATTAAATTTTTTTGTAAACGTAAATGTTGTCCAATGGTGAATAATGTGAAAATAATGTGTGATGAAATATTTATAAAACCAATTCGTTACTTTTTTACTCCAAAAATGTCTATAATGAAGTTTTACCCTCAAAGGGCTTTTACATTCGAATTCGTATAGTCACGGCCAAATCTATATGGGTGCACGTCATCAATGAGATATAATGACGTCAGCATAACCAACTTTGAATTGTAAAGTTACTGCCGTTAAATTTGCTTTTTTAAGGCGTAATTCGGATGTGTTATTAAAAAGAAATCATTCATTTGCGTATTGTTTACCAAGAACTGTAACAATTTCCTTGTTTTAAAACGTTTTTTCACGAAATTATCAAAATAAAACCATTCACTTAGTAATTTTTGTGTGTGCCAGTTGGTAATAGCTTAAGGCTGGCGCGCACCGTTTAATATTATTGATGGGTCGCTGTCATTTTATATTTGACGTATTTTTGTAATTGTGACATTTCGTCCGGAAGCATCGTTTGTTGCAAATTATTATAAATAATATTATACATTATGTTTATAAGATTCTATCCCTGGATTGTGCAAACAATGATATAAGGCTTGTTGGCAACTAGCCGTTATTAGATTTCGAAGACATTGCGCCCTTAATAATAAATTTGGGGAAATAATCAGACTTCAATTCTGACCTGGTTTGCTCTGATGACAAGGACGACTGGTAATTTGTAATTTTGTAATTTTGTGTTTCTGATAATTTAGAATTTTTTTGTTATGTGCATATGTAATAAAAATGTAATAAACTCCGTTTGTTTTCTCTTTAAACACATTTAATAAAAATTTGCCTGTAACAAACTCCTAATTAGTTAGTGCAGAAGATTATAACAAGGACGTTATAATTCCATCTTAATAACAGACCCCACCGCTATAAAAGTCAACAATACACGAGCGTTAGATTGTGTCTGGGCACGTCATATGCCGTTGATGACGTGCACCCATACAGATTTGGCCGTGACTATATCTGTTATTTTTGGCTTAATTATCTTTTTATTTATAATTGACAAGTAAATTATCAATAATAAATATAATTGTCAATTTGACAGTGTAAAAGTATTTAATTAAATTCTTTAGCAGAAGTACCATTTTTAAACATTAAAAATACTAAATCAAACTGGCATAAGCCACCAACCTAACAAAAAAACAGTCCAGATAAAAAAAATTAACTTGTACCTATATAAAATCTTTTATGCAAAATCCGATCCTGTACATTTACTTGAAAATTAAATATACATACCTACAAAAAGAATTATAAAAAAATTAAAATGAGTGTTATTTAAACATAAAATAATCAGATAAAATTAAATAAGCCGATACCAATATTGATTAACTTTATAAGTGGCAGGGTTCAAATATCGTTCGGTTACTCATTAAATGAAACAAAAAGCAAATTTTAAAACGAGAAACTCAACATTTCAAGTAGTTCCAATTCGAGAGTCGACGAGTGCTGAGATAGGTACACATCGTCCTTTCAAAAATTAATTTTTAGTTCAGTGTTGTTTGCCACATCAAAATTTACAACCAGCAAAATGGATAAACTTTCGAATTTTGTCTTGATTTTAGTTATTGGTAAGATCTTTAAATTAATGTTATGTATATCAACTATTTTTACATTTTAAATAAGTACAGGATCTACTTTTAAGTAATTTAAATTTTTTTAAAAATTGTTGGATATTTTTACAAAAATAATATATATTTTTAAATTTACTGTCTTAAAATGTAAAAAATCTAAGTTACAATTTTGAATTTAAATTTAATACATGGTTTAACAATTTTTTTATACAAAATACCACAAAAAGCGGTCATCCATATCTTTGAAGAAACAGTGATTTATTAATGATTTGAAATTTAACTTTATTATTGCACAAAGATACGAAAAGTATGTCAAATTTAGGTTAAAATATCGATATTTATTTTTTATCTATAATAGCCAACTATCTAATAAAATAAATAAAACGCCTTTGTTGTGTTTCATATTAGAGGTCACTTTGAATACTTCTAAATTAAATAATTACTTTATTATAAATAACAACCTACCTGTAATAAATTGTACATTTTTTGTTTGTTTTAAAAAAATACAACTTTTTTGTTGAAGTGGCTATGTTGAACAGTAAAAATCATAAAGCAATTAAAATTTTTAATTATGCGTCTGTTTAGTTGAATGCCTTGAAAAAGGCAACAATAAAGTTTTATTTAGTCAATAAAAATATGTGTTTTTATAAATTGTTATGTATCAACACCCTGTATATTTTTTTAGTAATTATAATAACAAATTTGTTTAACAGAAGGTACCAATTGATAATACTACTTTAAAAATGCACTACAATACCTATTTAGAAAGTAAATTGTCAACAAAAATATTATTATCTATCTTACGATAATAATTATCCTCATAAATGCATTTAAATTCTTATATAATCAGCTACAGGATGTGATGAGTAACATTATCTTTTTATATTATATTTCGCAAAATAAGACTTTCAAGAATGTTTTGTTTGTAAATATTGTAAAGGAAACATCTAATAGGAAAATTACTAGGTACTTTAAAAATGGCAGGTACCAGGGTTAGTCAATAAGTCCTCACCATCTATATAGAGATAATATTACCTAAGTAATTGACATAATTCGTTTTTTACATTACCACATCATTTTTATCACTTTATTTCAGGTTTGGCATTAGCTCAAAACTTGAACGAAATAGACGGAGACGATTTGAAAGAAAAACTTGGCGAACAATTTCCGGAACTCAAAAATTTTAATCAGTCCCTTTTGCCAAAACCAGAGGACGTTGAAAAGAAGTTTAAAGAAAAATGCGAGCAAAACGGAGCTGACCCAAGCATTGTAGATAACTGGAAGGTAAAGATATATTTTTTTTAAATATAAAATATATGTATAATATTCCAACCATTTTTAAAATTTATGCCACTGTGCAAATTTGTCCTGACGTTTTTTAAATTTGTCCCACTGTGGGAATTTTTTCCACCATTTTTTAAATTTGTCCCACTGTGCGATTTCCCACCATTTTTTAAAATTTATCCCACTGTGCGAATTTTTCCAACAATTTTGTTCGTGTGTATGTTTCTGTATTTTCGATTTTATTTTCATTTTGCAGGAAAACCATGAATTTTAAAACTCTTAAAAATTATGAAAATTTTGTAAAATTTTGATAACTGAAAGATTTTGAAATTTGTCCAACCAATTTATAAATTTATGCCACTGTGCAAACTTGTCCTGACGTTTTTTAAATTTGCCCCACTGTGCGAATTTTCCCCACCATTTTTTAAATTTATCCCACTGTGCGAATTTTCCAATCATTTTTTAAAATTTATCCCTTTGTGCGAATTTTTCCAACAATTTTGTTCGTGTGTATGTTTCTGTATTTACGATTTCATTTTCATTTTTTGTTTAAAAAATATGAAAATTTTGTAAAATTTTGATAACTGAAAGATTTTGAAATTTGTCCAGCCATTTTATAAATTTATGCCACTGTGCAAATTTTTTTCACCATTTTTAAAATTTGTCCAACTGTGATTTTTCCCACCATTTTTTAAATTTGTCCCACTGTGCGAATTTTCCCACAATTTTTTAAATTTGTCCCACTGTGCGAATTTTCCCACAATTTTTTAAATTTATCCCACTGTGAGAATTTTTCCAACAATTTTGTTTGTGTATGATTTCTGTATTTACGATTTTCATTTTTATTTTTCAGGAAAACCACGAATCCTTGAAAAGCTGTATGGAAAAGTATGTCAATGTGACCATATTGCAGGAGGAATTGGAAGAAGCGAAAAAAACTGGAGCCATGGACGAGGTTTTCGGAAGATACTGTGGAAAATACGGCGATATTCACCAGTGCTTTGCGGATGTGACGGGCGACGTAAGAAAATGTTTAAACCATAAGGAAGCCGGGGCTTTCAATATTACCCTTACTGCTATAGGCGAATTGAAAGAGTTTTTATGTTACAAGGATGGAGATCGCATGGCCAGTAAGTAAACATTAAGTTTTAAGTTTTCGTATATTTAATAAATGATTTCAATTTTGTTGCAATAAATATTATTTATTGCAACAAAATTGAAATCATTTTCAGAAAATAATGCTTTTTTTTATTTATAAAGAAACAATTTGGCTTTTGAAGTAAATTATAACTTTTAAATTTAATTTACTATTTAAATGATAATTATTTAATAGAAAGAGTAACTTTAAACATATTTATTTACAAAAAAATACCGACCTATTCTAAGGTCGTTAAAAAATATTCATAAAATTAAAACAGGTTAATTTTTTTAACCAAAACCTATTAAATATAAAACCGATATTATGGCACGCTCTTTTACCATCTATTAGATAATAGCTTGAAGATAAAAGTTTACCACTAAATTTAAGTTTCAAAATATTGATTTTTAAAAATTTTCAAAATTATCGGTTTAAAAAGTTAAGTAATTTAAATGATGGTAGATAAATTTTTAATACAAAAATTCTTACATTACATTTAAATGTAATGCAAATTTAAACCAAAAATTTTGTAGAATAAAATAATAAAACAATCCTTAAAAACCAATCATTTTATTTCAGGCGCGCAAAACGCACGATTTACAAATCTGTTTTTATCAAAAAAATTGTAGATAATTTATTACATAATGTTTTGACATGACAAATTATTTTTAATGCAAATGGGTTTTTATAAAAAAAGTTGTACTTAAAGTTCATTTTTTTTTATCTGGACTGCGGCAACGTTGCAAATTAAGGGTTTTGGTTGGTAAATACAGTTGCCAAGTTGGTCGCATTGATTAAAACAAACTAAGCTAGTTATAAATCTAATTGGTTATAAATTATAAATTATTGCAGGTTACATTGTGCAGTTGTCAAGTTGAGTTGTCGAAATTCGTAGTTAAAAATGCAATTAATTTGGCTTTGGTGGTGCTTGGATGAGTAAAATCATATAAAAAAAGTAGTTAAATATAGGTTGCTTTACGGCCCAGAAAAGAAAGTATTCCAAGTGGATAATAATCTTCGCTTTGAAAAGAATTTATATAAAAGAAATTAAAATTTTTTGTGAATGTAAATGTTTTCCAATGGTGTATAATGTGAAAATATTGTGTGATGTATATTTTACTCCAAAAATGTCCATAAGGCGATGTACTAGTACAAAAAGTATAAAAGTATAAAAGTATAAAAGTATAAAAAGTATAAAAAGCTTTTTCTTCCATTGTGGCATTTGGCATAATTTCATCAAAATGAAGTTTTGCCCTCAAAAGGGCTTTTACATTCGAATTCGTTGCTATTATTTTTGGCATAATTATCTTTTTATTTATAATTGACAAGTAAATTATCAATAATAAATATTATTGTCAATTTGACAGTGTCAGTAGCAGAAGTACCTACCATTTTTAAATACTAAAAATACTAAGTCAAACTGGCATAAGCCACCAACCTAACAAAAAAACAGGAAACCAGGTAAAAAAAAGAATTATCTATTATTATCTTAGAATCTAAGATTATTATTAACCCATAGATGACCGAAGGTAAATTAACCTTAACCTTTATAACCTGTGATATTATTAACCTTTATAATCTGTGATATTATATTTGCATCAAAATTGTCAAAAATATTCTTCTTTATTAGGCTAAACATTAAATAAAAAAAACGCATGAAATATATTATAAAATGTAGAGATAATTTTAAAGATAAAAGATTTATCTTGCGTTTTTTTTAATCAAATTTATAGCCTAATAAAAGAAGATTATATTTGACATTTTTGATGCGAAAATAATATATAATAAATTACCTAGGTACAACTTTTTTTATAAAAACCCATTTGCATTAAAAATATTTTTTATTATCAATTATTTTGAGTTTAAAAAATTTAACTTTTTAAACTTTGGTGGCAAATGTTTTATGTGTTTTATTTTAAATTTTTAAATAATAAAAAATTTAACTTTACCAATTTAATCTAAATAATTTTACTAAATATTTATTTAAGTTTTACAAAATTCTGCCCCAATAAATTACCTATACTTTTTATTAAAAAAAGGTGATTAGCAATTTTTGTAAAAATTTATTGAAAATAATATTGTTTAATACAGAATTCTAAGTGAACTGATGAAATTGGTTTATATTTAAAACAATTTTATAATTTAAATAAAATAAAATTTAAGTTTTAAGCACTTTAAACTACGTCAAAGTTTAAGTACAATTTAAAAACATATTATTTATCAGTTTTATTTAAATTTGTTTAAACTTGTAATTAAAAATTGTGTTAAATTTGAATAGATTAGTTGAACTAAATTAAATTAAAATATTTAAAAATTTAATTTTATAAAAAAACAATTAATTTATTAAGTTGTTCCAATATTATAAGATTTTATTATTTTTTCAGTGTTTGTGGCAGAGGGCGGACCAGAATGCATCGAAGAACAAAAAAATGGAATTCAAAATTGTATGAACGCAACTCTGGGAACCAGAATTCCAACTGATTTATCCATTGAAAATATGCCATCGTTTTTGTTTACTGACAACGATTGCAGGTAATAAAAAACAACAATATTTTTAAAATCACAAAGTTGACACTTGACCAACTAATATTTATTTTTCAGCGACTTCGACACGATCAGGACCTGCATCAACGTGGAACTAGAAAAATGCAAAACCAACACTCCTGCCAACTTAATGGATGCTTTCTTCAAGTTCCTGAAAAAACACACGCCTTGCAAAAACGTACCTACAAATAAAATGAAGGCTGCCCTTAAAGATTCCGCCACAACGGGGGCGGTCTCAACATTCGCCGTCTTAGTTTCTTTTATTGTTGTGCGATTGTTTTAACTTGTTGATTTTTCTTAATTATTGATAATTAGTTGATTTGCTGGTTATTTCGACTGAATAGATTATTTTTAAGTGTGATTTTAACTTATATAAACGACAATAATTGTACATAATTTAGTTAGGATTTAAATAAAATAGATTTTTACCTTGCAGATTTATTTCGATTTTTTCCATACCATAGCACTGTACTTATTAATTTTCACAGAGGACTCTGTTAATTTTGCTGTAAACAGGTTCCTGAAACACAAAGCAAAAGCTTGATTGTTCTGCGGACAGATGGGGCCACCGGTTCAATCAATAAACAGGTTTTTAGTTTTACAATGACGTCATTTTTACAGTCATATTTGCAACAATTTAAACAATAACAACAGCTACATTGTCGCTAAACATAAAGTGCAAAGTGATCTGTGATGTGCAGGCGAGAATTCTATCGGCATTCTGAAGATGTAATCATATAACCTATTCAATTTCAATTTTTCAAAATTGAGATTTCAAAAATTGCGAGAATGCCGGAACAGAGTAACGATTACAGGGTGGTTGTTTTTGGGGCTGGCGGGGTCGGAAAGAGCTCCTTGGTGCTCAGGTTCGTCAAGGGGACTTTCAGAGACAGCTACATACCAACCATCGAAGACACTTATCGACAGGTAACAGCACTTCACACTTTATGGAAATAATCTGTATGCATATTATGCATTTTACATTAAAAATGTCTTATGACTCGGAACTATTAAATTTGGTCAAGAAATATCGAATCCAAAAGTACTGTATGGTCCAAGGAATATCTATAGATCTATCTAATTGTCTATCTAAAAATAAATGGTGTTAGAAGTCCTGATAAAACAAACTAATTTTTTTCCAGAATTTAAATCCAATTTTATATGGCATTTGTCAGGCGGTTTTAACCTCACTTTTTCCCAATCTGACATCTGTCAAACAGATTTAACCTCACTTTTTTTACTGGTGCCTTGAGTAACTAGCAGTACTAGTAGTACACTAGTGTAGATAATAGTATATTATGTATCAAGTTTTTTAAACGCCATTTTTGATTAATAAAAAGGAGAGAAGTTTATAAAACGAGTTGCATACTATACTTTATCTACGACGAACACAAATAAGAATTTAATGCCAATTTTATTTGTTGAACATTTAACATCTGTCAACTGTCAACGGATTTAACCACTCTTGCTAACTTCAACCCATGACTAAAACGCCATAAAGTCATAGCTTATTAATAGAGAAGTAGATAAAAAAATTAAAGGAAAAAATAGTATATTAAAGAATTAATTTCATTCATTTTGTCGCACGCGGACAATTTATAAAACGAGACATAAGTTCTTTATGCTATTTTATCTATTTTGCAAAAAATCTATAACAAAATTAATTTTATACCTTAAATTTAATTTGGTCGAATTTTACTTTAGATAGTTGGTACAGTCATTGGTTTGACAGTCAATGTCAAAATCCATTCGCCATGCCGTCCTTAATTTACTTATTTGCAATAAGCGGCTGTTAATGTTAAAAAAGAAAAAAAGGATTTTCTTTGGTGTTAAACAAAATTTATTGCCAGAAAAGTCTCGCAAGTACTAGAAAAATCATAAAAATATTATAACCAATATGCAAAATATTATGCTGTTTAAAGTATAGCCAACCTATAAAATCAAAATTTTGGGTGGGATAAAGTATCTCATTACAGCACCGAAAGCGGTGTTATAATGAAGTCATTATGAACGCAAAATAGATAAAAACAATTTTAAACCCTTAACGTCATTTTTCGTGTACCTTAGATCATACAGTATGTGGATATCCATAGGACATTATTAATGCCTTCCATTTTCACCATTCAATAAAAGACTGCTGATTTTTTGTTTTATTTTACTTTCAGTTGTTATTATTGCTTCCTTTTGTTGTTACTTGATTACTAGATGTTTTAGTGCTTTCTTGATGTTTGTTTTATTTGGTAAGTAGTGTTTTGTTTTTTTATTGTTTATTGTATTTTTATATTATTTGTAGTTTAAATGTTGCTGTAGCTGTATTTTTTATTATTGTGTCTTTAAATTGATTAACAAAGGGCACTGACCTACATTAAAACAATACACAGCTAAATTGTGTTAAGATAGATCATTTTCTATAAAAAATAAAGTCGCTCAGTGTGCGTTGGAGAACACCGTGCACTGATTGTTTTATTGCTTTCTATAGATCTATACTTTTTCTATAATTCCGGAATTTTATTATGATGTCAATAATAATTTATGTAATAATAAATAAAATGTTATTTTTATGCATATTTTTTGTCATTAAAGTCAACTAATGCAATTTTATTTCTTCATTAACATTTAATGGAATAATTTGTGGTCAATTTTCGAAGGTGATAAGTTGCAACAAAAACATCTGCACCCTGCAAATCACGGACACGACCGGCTCTCATCAATTTCCCGCCATGCAGAGGCTTTCAATAAGCAAAGGGCATGCCTTCATCCTGGTTTATTCGGTGTGCAGTCGGCAGAGCCTGGAGGAGCTCAGGCCCATCTGGGAGGTACTCAGGGAGCTAAAGGGTCCCGATACCAGCCAGATACCAATCATGTTGACGGGAAATAAGTGCGATGAAAGCGCGGAACTGAGAGAGGTAAAGAAAATTGCAGTTTTTTAATTTATTTCTGTTCGTCAGAATTAAGCCTGAATTATAGATTGCCTTCCTTCCTTCCTCCCGTAGTCGTGCCCGTACGATTTGTAAAATTCCGAAACCATGCGCGATGACACCTAAAATGGTTGACATTTGTTTTTGTTTATATTCTGCGTTTTACCCATTGTGTGTAAATATGAAAGATAAACATTTATATATTAGTGCAGTGATCACAATTTTAATTGCCCAGGCAGCTTGTTGTATAATAAAAAAAACATCGAACAAGACGTTGGAAGACTCGCCCACTTTACCAAGAACGGGAAACTACGGGGTTTTACAAAGCAACGTTTCAAAAAATGAAAGAAATTGATCATAAACAATATCTAAATATCCTATTTAGAGACACAAATTATTTAATAAACTGAACACCTATCTTAAATATTACTAAACAATCATGTATTTTAAATATTTTGTGCCTACGCCCTGTCACCCTACAGCGCATGTCCATAACAAGCACTGTGATTGGTCATGTCAAAGACGGTGAAAGATAAAACTTCTTACGGTACGGGAATCTATAAATGGCACTACGATTTAAATAAACATTATTGACGTAATTGTCACCATTAACATTTTCCGTTATTATTTTAGTTTAACTTAACAATTATTGATACTTTAAAATGTTAAAATAACTTCAAAATATGATTTTGTTAAGAAAATATTTTATCCTTTGATTTCTTTTATTACTATAATTGCAAAATATTATCACAAAGTATTAAAAATTCTTACACGGGAAATGTTAATGGTGACAATTACGTCAAAAATGTTTATTGGGTTTCGTATTGTTCATCTTTTACGGGAGGAAGGAAGGAAGGAAGCCAATCTATAATTCAGGCTTTAAGCCTGAATTATAGATTGCCTTCCTTCCTTAAAAAGCAAATTAAACCGCAGTAACTTTACAATTTACAGTTGGTAATGCTGATCAGATTTGGCCGCGACTATACGCTAAACGCTAAAGAAGTATCGCTAGTAGCGCCACCACTCGGCTGTTATCATCGTAACAAAAGTACCGCTTTTAATAATCAGCTGTCAAACGCTTATGTTACAAACTAGTGTTTTTGAGAATAAAGCCGGCGAATGTTAAAAAATATCTGAAAAAAACCGTGGCTCGATTTGTTGTGTTGTAGGGTGTATTTCGAGAGGAAATCCTGGGTTGAGTTTTTACCGGTTTTCCAATAAACACAGCGCCGGATTATAAAAATTTGCGCCCCGGGTCTAATAAAAATTTTCCGCCCCTACCTATATAATAAATTCAAAGAAATGTCACTTCTTAACAAAAGGATTTTATTTAACCATAAACATTAGGGTTGTAGTATTTTTTCAAAATTTTTTTGATTTTGGAGATCAAATAAAAAAAATAAGTATTTGAGTTTCAACAGATAAAAAAATTTTAGACGTCGCTCAAAACTTTTTTAAACCAACCTTTTTTCTCAAAATCTTTGGCTTCTCACTATTTTTTTTGTAGGTCGTATAGGAACATAATACATTTTTAAGTCAAAATATTATTGGTCGCTCAATATTTTTAAAATACATTTCTTGATTTTTTTAATAATTTTGATCTTGTAACCACTACTATTTTTACAATTTAGTTGATTTTTTTGAGCGACGTTTATTTTTTTTTGAGTTAAAACTTGAATACTTTAAACTTAAATTGTTTCATGTGAGCTCCGAAATAAAAAAAAATGTCGAAAAAATATTTCCACCCTAAAAACATAAACAAAAACTATATAAAAAACAAATACCTAAATAAGAAAATTAACATTTTGCCAATTCAACTTTGCGTGCTTTTAGAGAAGCAAATTTGTTTATCGCAATATTGACGTCATCTTTCAATAGGCTAATACCTATAGTATAGTATAGGTCCTATACTATATATATAAATACATACATATATATATATGACTGGTACTGTATATAACTATAGTTTTAAACTAATTTAAATTAATAGTTGTTCGTAGTGTAATAAAATATTCTTATATTAAAAAACCTTTACGCCCATACGAATCGCATCGGTGGAAATAATCAATTTCTGCAAACTAAAGTTCTTGTCGCCCAACAACTTGTCGGGCGCCCTACGTAATACGTATTTCGTATACTATGCATAGATAATAATACTATGGCAACAATCACGGTTATAATTTAAATAATTTTTTTATTAAAACTGATTAATACACGAAAAATAAAAAAAGGGGAAAACCCTTTAGGTTGTAGTAAAAAACAAAAATTACCAGTCAAAAATTTTGCGCCCCCTGTAAGCTTGCGCCCCGGGTCTATAGACCCCCAAAGACCCCCCCTAAATCCGGCGCTGAATAAACAGTTTTAATCTGAATGAAGAAATAAAATGCAAAGTCTCTGTAAATATAAATTGTACCTATTAGATACAATAAATACACATTTTAGTTGTGCTTAACGTGAAAAGAGTAAACATTTCAATTCAGTAAAAATCGTCAAACATATAAGTCGTCTAAATTTAAACAGAATTTAGCATTATTAAAAGCTTTGATTAAGAAAGTCTCCACTCAACGGTAAAATACCATTATATTATGTATTATGTTGCCATGAATTCGTAGGTATATTTTGTTGTTTAAAATGCAGTTGTCGGCGTTTTTTAGAGAACTCAAATATAAAAATGGTTGATTTTAAGGTTATGTTTGTGCAAAAATTATTTTTTACTAATTTCTTAAAAATGTCCAAACTTAAATATAAATTATGTTAGATAAAGTTATCATTAGTTAATTCTGCACCAACAAATGTACTTACCGAATTGGATCCTTTGGCAAAACATGAAAATGCAACGATTTAGTTCTTGAATTTTTTTACAATTAAAAACACAATAATTCACCATGATTCCTTAGATAAAATGCACACACTAACGTAACTATATAAGCATTTAAGCGTTGAGTTTCTTAATCAATGATATTTAAGAATAATCAATAGAAATCGAGTACTAAACCAGTTTTTTAATTTTTTACTTGCAACGTAAAACACAAATAACGTGCGCGATTTAGCTGTGCAATTGAACAAAATTTGTCGAGTAAGACTTCTGAAAACCCGATACTTCTTTAGCGTATACAAAATTATTTATTAATTTCGGGTTGGAAGTTTAAATCTTAATGTTAAGGTTACGACGTCCGAGGGCCAGGCTCAGGCCACCGAGTGGGGCGTAAGCTTCATGGAAACTTCCGCAAAAACCAACCACAACGTGAAGCAACTCTTTCAGGAGCTGTTGAACCTGGAAAAGAGCCGCAACGTGAGTCTTCAGGTGGGCGGGAAGGCCACGAGCCGCGTCGTCAAGGAAAAATGCGAGCTAATGTAAGCGAAAGAAGAAGAAGAAGAAAACACTCGACGATTGGATTTTGTTGTTTTTCGGTGCTAACTTGTCACGGCTTCTGCAGCCATCTCGATGCGTTTAACGTTCAGCGCCATCTGTCGGCCGTTGCGAACGTTAAACTTCGTCGGGTCACGACCAAGCTTTAAAAGCCGGGCAAGTGGAAAGTTAATAAAAATGAGTCAAGCTTTTAATTTTTCGTATTAAACAATATTAGTCAATTGAAAATTTCAATAATAATAATAATAATTAGTTTATTATTAGGCTTTTTAGGGTAAATATTACATAAAACATAATAGTTTATTAGGGTGATTTTTTTTTACTTCCGACGCTGAAAAATTGGTTCCCAAATTTGAGCTCTCCTTATCACAGTTTTCCATTTTTAAAATACATATTTTATTGTTAATCAATGTTTTTTTTTATAATATTGTAACTCATTAAAAAATAGTTATTGTCAAATGAATATAAATAAAAAATCGACTATTTTTTTTGTAAAGTATATCGAAAATATTGTTTGGGGTGACAAAAAGCTCTATCATCACAATTTAATTTTTTTTTCCTGAGCCAGTTTTTGTCTCAGAACTGTCAAACCATTGAGTTTAACAAAGTTGACTCAGAGATATTTTTGAAGGAAATTGAAAGCTCTACAAAAAAGTTCAAAATGAAATTTTCCGTCAGATAAACCGTTTCCTTAAAATCATGCCTTAAAAATTGGTATTGTTTTAATTTGATCTTTTATCTTTGGAATTTTGTAATACATGTAAAAATCAGTTCCCGGAAAAAACCGATAGATATCCTTATGGGAAATCAAATGCTTTACAAAAATTACAAAATTTTTGGCTAAATTCACTCAATCAAAAGTTATTCAAGGTAAACGAAAACGAAACATGATTGTTACTATTTAAAAGATTAAATAACAGTGAAAATGATATTTTATAAAGAAAATACTTCTTAAGGCGAAAAAATTCGAATGTTATATTTTTTTTTTAATTTTTAGTAACTTTATCAATAACATATAGATTATTATTGATAAAAGAATTCAAGTTTTTAACTAAAAAAAAATCTACAGCGGTAAAAACAAGAATTTCGTTTTGACTTCAACTTTAACCTTGAATAACTTTTGATGTATTGAATTTAGCCAAAAATGTTAAAAGACTTTTTTTGTAGAGCATTTGATTTCCCATTAGAATGTCTATCTATTTTTCCGGGTACTGATTTTTACATGAATTACAAAATTCCAAAGTTAAAAGATCAAATTGTAAAACTAACAATTTTTAAGGCATGATTGTAAGGAAACGGTTCATCTGACGGGAAATTTCAATCAGACCTTTTTTGTAGGGCGTTCAATTGGTTTGGGAGTTCTGGGACAAAAACTCGCTCAGGAAAAAAATCTAAAATTGCGATGATAGACCTCTTAATATTAATATTATGGATTCAAACTTTCCCAATAATTTTTTTGTCACCCCAAACAATATTTTCGATATATTTTACAAAAAAAATAGTCGATTTTTTTGGCCCATTACGCATTGGGAATTTTTTTCAACGAGTTAAAAAAATATTATTTTTTTATAAATTCTTTAAACTTTGATCTTGAATATCTTTTAAATGGTTATAGTATTTGCTTAAACACATTAGTCCTTTTTTGTAGAGCATTCAATTCCCTACAAAAACATGTATAAAGTATTAATTAAACGATTGATTAATAATGGAATATGGTCGCTTTTATAAGAAACTAAAGAAAAAATTAAAAACTGATATTAATATTAAGAGCTCAAATTTTCTAGAGGAGTGTCGTGTCGGAAGTAAAAAATATTCGATTTTTTTAAATCACCCTATAGTACATATAGGGATACTAAAAATAACTTGCGTAGATTTCAAAACTCGTTGACTGTTGAAAAAAAGTGCCCACTCGCGGACAATACGATTACCTCTTATCAACTTGACGTTTATGTAAATAAAACCTCCTTTTCCGCACACTTTCACACTTGCTCGGCTCACGAATATTCGCGAGTCGATTGCAGCTCCATCTATGGGTTTGTTCCGACAGTTTCAGTCAAGTGAAGTTGGAACAAACCTTAACCCATCTCATTTTTGAATTAAACGCGATCTCATCTTAAATGTGTATTGTTAAGTTTTCTGCGTCAGTAGGTACGCTATCGATTTACATTATTAAATCTAAATTCAACTGTTATTGATGAAATTGTTGAAGAAAACGGGAGGTTTAACTTTGTTTAGTTTTTTTATTGCACAAGAGAATGTTCTACCAAATATTTGATACCCTTTACAACTAAAAAAAAATAAAATAAATGCTCTCACCAGATAAAAAAAATTGACTGCCAATTTTTGTAGAAGCAGAAGAAGCCATGAACAAATGTATGTGTCGCATACAAACAAATGACAATCACATAGCATATTTTTAAAACCGTCAACAGAGAGCTACTTAACTTTTTTAATTAATAACAAAATACATATGGGTCTTTCCATCTCATATCGTTATTTTTCAACGAATTTTTTTACAGTTTCTCTACCCGACAGAAACGTCGATTTTTTTGTATATTTGAAATAAGTTATTGTATCTTTTTACACCTCAATATTTTTTAAAAATACAATTGTACTTACATAAAATATTTATTAAAAAAATCTACTTACTGAGATATTATACTTCACGGTGGATAGGTTTTTAAATAGCAAATTAATGAAATTATACTTTTGAATTATAAAACAGCAACACTCTCATCTGCATATTAATTCTAACTGACCTTCAGGAATCACATGCATCTTTTATGTCGCAAACAGAGATTTTTGCTTATTTAAAATGATTAAAGCGCCATCCGTTGCATAAAATTTAAAGCAAAAACAAATTCACGGAGGATAGAATCAATTTTTGTAACACCTACATAAATGGGTATAAAAATTATTTCTTTTAATTTTTAATAACATTTTATATTTGATTCGATTGCTTTGGATGTGTTTAATTTACTTAGTGAACTGATATTTTTAGTATACTTTTACTATCTCTGATATTTGAAAACATACAGGTTAACCTAGAAATAGTAACAGTCACGGAGGATAGGTTTTAGACTTTTGAAACATTGTAAAAAATAATTAATTGCGGTTAAAAATCTGGAACCTGAGCTGTAATATCTACTTATTTATGAAAGATCAAAACACAATGAAAGTGTAGGTCAAACTCATTTAGTTTTATTAAATATCACGTGAGATACAAATTTAATAAACTATTATCCGTTTCAAACGAAAAAAAGTTTTTATATATTTTTTTGTATGTAGTAAATATTTACCTACCTATAATTTCAAGAAAAAATTGTAAAGATCGAAACATTTTTGGCCAAGTTAACGCATTTTCAAGAAAAAATGTCATTTGAAAAAAAAGTTCATTTTATAAAAAATTTCTACGGGTGAACAAAACAAATTTAAGCAAAAAGAAAAAATACGGGTCTCATCAATTTTGGTAGAGAAACTGTAAAAAAGAATTCGTTAAAAAATGGAAAGGCCCATACTACTAAAGTAAATTAAATAAAGTTAAATCGTTCGTTTTTTTAGAAAAAAATGGTAATTCAAAAACAACGCAACGGGGCCACCCTTTAAATCTTGTACAAAAGCCAGCAAAATTGCAAAATCGATTTTGCTGTACTTTTAAAAAAACACATGTCACAATAGCATATCAGTATATAGTTATCGAAATATATAGAGAGTACTAGTTATAAATTATATACATACATATTATATAACTTGTTTTTAAGGCTGCATCCATCTTTGTACTTCATAACTTAAAAAAATTATATAATTTTTTATAGTTTTTTTAATTTAGAGAATGGGTCCAATAGATTTTAAACCAAGAACAAAAATAACGCACCACCAAAAAAATTTCTTAATCTTTGTTATGATAAAAAACAAGGTACAGTATGGCACGCCGTTTTAACATTTATTAAATATTTTTTTTTATAAAATTATTTGGATTAAATTGGTAAAGTTAAATTTTTTAGTATTAAAAAATAGTGTTGAGACATTTAAAATAAAAACACATATAAAACATTTTCTACCAAAATAGTTTAAAAAAAAGTTATTTATCTAAAAACAATTGATTATCAAAAAATATTTTATATATAAAATGCAAATGTAAGTTTAAGTATTGGTATTTAAAAATTGTAATTTTAATATTTTTTTTTACAAAGTTATTGGATATTGGTTACCTATTTGTAAGTCATTTAAATGCGATAAATTTTTAATACAAAAATTCTCACATTACATTTAAAGTGTTAATTTTTTGATTAAAAATTTATTGACTATAGAATAAAATATTTGAACTAAAATTATTAAAAATCAATATTTTTAAGCTTAAAGTTTTACAGTTCTATTTTATATTTTAAAAAAATTTTGACAATCAGTTGTTTTGATTAAACAAATTTAACTAATTAATTATTAACTCTGCTTGTTCTATGTTCTTGATAATTATTTGATATATTTAAAATTTCGTGGTGGTGCATTATTTTTGTGGCTTGGTGTATTTACTTATCTAATTAATTGAAACATATCACAAAATACTTATACGTGCACGAAAATATTACGAAAAACTTTTCACAATGAAGTACACTTATGGATTCGTTGAAAATACTAGACTGGGTGCTAAGCGAAAAATTGTTTGTTAAAAAATATTTGTTATTCACGCTTTATAGTGTTCACTATATGAACTGCAATTGTGATCGATTTATAATACATATAAATTATATATTTATGCAACGAATATATAAGGAAAAAACTAAAGGAATAGCTAATTTACTCAAAAATAAAAACGTTTTGACTTTCTGCTGTAGTATAGAGGCCACTACTACAAGTTTTGCATTTATATGCGCTTTTTAGCTGAAAAAGTTACAGAAAAATATAGTGATCCAATTGGTAAACTTAAATTATCAGCTCAGTATTTAAACAAAAGAGTTGACTTGACTGGCAATATTATTTTCATAGAATTTGGTTAATTTGGTGCCAAATTTAGTTAATTAATTTTTGATCTCAACGAAGCAACGCTTGTTTTTTTAGTATTAATATAAAGTTATTAATTCACATGTAGAAATAGATTTTGAACAAAAAAGGAATTAAACCATTGCAACTTAAGTGCATTTTAAGAATTTGAATCTCCTTAGAAGAAAATTACCAAACTACATTTCAAAAACTTTAAAGTTCTCATTATTTACTAATTCCTAGGTATTACAAGCATAGTTGTATCTATCTCTATTACACGAAAGTAGATACAAACATATGTTATAAGTTGTTAAATATTTCTATGAAATTCATTAGAAATCTTTTTTATCGTATGGTCAGTCATACACAAATTTAGTGATTTAGTGTTACAGATATTGTGTTATTGTAATTTTATATGTTCCTACAACTTTTTGTATAAACATTAATAGGTACATCTTCATTTTAAAATCTCTCTTTATAAGCATATTTATTAATTAATAAATCAAATATGAAGAATAACGGCTTTTATTTTTATAACCCTTTCTTTTTTATTGGTTTTATTTAAAAAAATGGACGAGGTCCAATCATGAGATTGTAAAATATTTTGTTGTTTGGGTACAATTAAGGGAATTAAAAGAATACCAAATTTAGGTGCGTTTGTCAATCAACAACCGGAATAAAGCAGCAAAGGCTTAATTATTTAAGTGGACAATTGCAGAAAACCATTTCAACTGCGCAATGTATTTTGTTTTCTTTAAATGCCACTTTAAAGTATAACGTCGTAGAATATCGTGTAAAAGCTAACATGTTCAAAATGGGAAAAGTTTTTGTAACTATTTTGTGTTTGGTTTTAATAGGAACTCAGGTAACCTTTTTAGTTACTTTATAGACATTCTTAAATGTGGGTAGTTATTGGACAATTAAAATTAATACTGTAAAAACAAGAGTTCTATAAATAGTTCCCTTAAAGTCAAATCATTAGATGACTGTATACAATTACAACTATCTCAGTCGATAATAATATACAGGGTGTCCGGGAAAAGGAGGTCAATCCGTTAACCATATATTCCTTGAGTTAAAACAATAAGACTTTCATAATACCATTTTTCAATTTAGAGCTTCATGTTCGATATACAGGGCGACAAAGTTTGAAATTAAAAACTGATTTTTTTTAATAATTCGAGTAATTGATAAAATACTAAGTTTAAATTCGGTACACTACTTCAACATAAATAGTTACATTTTTTGAGATCAACAAAACAAAAAACAATTGTCAAATAATCAAAATAGGGGGGTCCAGTACTCACTGACTCCCCCTATTTTTTAGTACGTGCGCCAATGACTTTCAAACGGAATTTTTTCAGGTAATCATTTATTGTTGAAAATGTTTTGTCTCTTATAAAATTTTGATAAAATGATTTGTTTTAGAGATAATTTGTAAAGTATGGGTCAGTCCATATCAAATTTTCAAAAAAAATTTTTTTTTTTTTGAAAAAATGTAGGTCATGTGATATATCATAAAAAAGTTCTTTAATAGGGCTTTAAAATAAGCCATCACTCACCTTTCTACTTTTAATAGTTTACGAGATATCGCTATTTTTGTAAGTACTTGCAAGACCCAAATTTATCGGAATTTTTTGATTTTCAAAAATCAATAAAACAAAAACCACCCATCGAAAAAAATTCATATATGGGATTTTTGAGTTTTTTAGTGAGGTAAACAAATTTACCAAAAATGATCAAAATCGGAGATGGTGGGGGAAGAACCTTTGGTTGATTTGATATGGACTGACCCATACTTTACAAATTATCTCTAAAACAAATCATTTTATCAAAATTTTATAAGAGACAAAATTTTTATAACAATAAATGATTACCTGAAAAAATACCATTTGGAAGTCATTGGCGCACGTACTAAAAAATAGGGGGAGTCAGTGAGTACTGTACCCCCCTATTTTGATTATTTGACAATTGTTTTTTGTTTTGTTGGTCTCAAAAAATGTAACTATTTATGTTGAAGTAGTGTACCGAATTTAAACTTAGTATCTTATCAGTTACTTGAATTATTAAAAAAAATCAGTTTTAAATTTCAAACTTTGTCGCCCTGTATATCGAACATGAAGCTCTAAATTGAAAAATGGTATTATAAAAGTCTTATTATTTTAACTCAAGGAATATATGGTTAACGGATTGACCTCCTTTTCCCGGACACCCTGTATAACTACTTTATTTCGGGTCCAATACTTTATCTAATCTATGGTCCAATATAGGACAAAAAAGTTCGCACGTTACTTTGGTGGTAAGATTTTTGATTTTTTGTTCAAAAAATATTTCTAAATAGTGTACAGATCAGTGTGTGGTATAAATGTGTTCCTCGTGGTTTAAACATTGTCACTTTAATGCGTTTTAATTTTAATTCCGAAAACAAACAGTAAAATGGCCAGTGTCCAATTACTGGTTGGTAAAAAATGTAAATTTCTATTATTGGACATGTGTCCAATATCATACTCTATTTATATCCCGGATATTTACCAGCCAATTCTTATGTAAAATTGTCCCCTGAATCCGAAAAGACCGTCAAAAACTATAAAAGTTAAGCAGTTTTTGAGATATAGTCAATTCCATATTATATGTAAAATTGATTATATTTCAAAAACTGTTCTACTTTTATAACTTTTGACGACATTTTTGGATTCAGCTAAATGTCCTGGATACAAATTTCTGTTGACGAGAATTATTAGTGGCTGCTTTTTCGCTATGACATTTTTGACTAATTCATTTTTAGAGAGTAAGTAATATAGTGATTTCTTCGTCACAGGACATCTTGCAGAATAACAGTGATTTAAATACAGTGCATGATAGAGAACATAAAAAACAAATGGCAACAAAATTAATAAATTCGGTGTATTAGATATATATATAAATCATCCTGTTCCGGCCTAAACATTATAAATGCTAGAGATACCATATTTGCAACAAACTATTTCAGAAGTCAGACCAAGGAATTAGTAGTTACTTTCAGAATCCAGAAAAGGGATGAGGAATCCGAGAAAGAAATATATGAATTATATGATATTTACAAAAACGAAATAAAAAAATTACCTAAAACAGCAATTTATATTTAAAAAATATTTAACAATTTATATTTAAAAAATATTTAACAATTTATATTATTTGATGTAAAGTACATAAAAATTGTATGTCCAATAAATAGTTATTGGTTCCTGTGTCTAATAACTATGTGGTTTACCCTAGTAGGGTGTTACAAAAATAAGTTTTAAATATTTTGTCTTCACAAATATTTTTTTATTCTATGACTTCTAAATGAATAGAACATTATTTTATTGGAATCGGATAAATTAAATGTAAAAGTAAAATTATAATTTGAAACCCTAAAATCCAAAACTAAGACATAAGGGATGCTTACGTACTCGGCAAATCTAGCAAGAGACTTCAGATATGAGCCTGGTGCGCAAATTTTAAAGAGAGAACGCATTCGGAAGAAAAGAGATCCATGATACGGCCGAGATCGGCCGCACAGAGGACTAAAATCCCCAAAAAGCGGTTTTACGAGGTATTTGCAAATACATGTAAAATTTTAAATTATTAAGTTATAAAATAGTTAGAACACAGCATATGCTGTGGTTAGAGCTAAAAAATTATTTAAGTTTAATGGATGTAACTAATAAAGATTTTAATGACAACTACGGACCGTGTAACAACATTATTAAAGATATTTAAGAGTAAACAATAGTAAATTTTCGATTTACTTTGAATTTTTTAAATTTACTTATACAATTGGAATAGATCCACTAGGTACAATTTTCTACCTTAATATTGATGGGGTATTAATAAATATAATTATATTTAAGGTAAACAATAAATGTTTTAAAGTTAAGGTATGTTTAAAAGAGGTAACAAATAAAAATACGTTATAATAAAATTGTATTAGGGTTAGGTACGTTTTTATTGATATAAATGTTAAGAAATGATGGCAAATTGATAATTATTTGTGAAGAACCTACTAAGAACTTACAATGGATTTTAAATCAAAATTAAAGTGTAAAGTTTTGTCAGGTCAAGCTAGAGAGGTGATAGCTAATGTTATTCTGTTTCCATTTCCATTTCCATTTAAAAAAAAAGTTGTTTTATTTAATAAATAGTATTAATAGATAATAATAATAATAATAAATAGTATTAATAGATAATATAATATACTTGATTTACTTTAATTTTAATCCACTGTGCGCAACGTTCTTTACGATACGACAACTTCAATGCAAATGAATATTTTAAGAGCTGGTCACTGCGATTCGATGGGCGTATACATTTCGTCACCTGAGAATTATAGTGTTCTATCTGCATTTTCTTTTTTTTATTCAGGTTAGTCTTGTTTTAAGTATTAAAGATGCATATTGTTCTTTCTATATATAATTGGGGTAGAAATTGTACAGTTTAAACCTTAAACTTTACAATTTCTACCCCAATTATATATAGATAGACCAATATCATCTTTAAGACTTAAAACAAGACTAACCTGAATAAAAAAAGGAAAATGCAGATAGAACACTATAATTCTCAGGTGACGATTTGACGTCTCCAGCTAGATTTGCCGAGTTGTATGCACTTTTCACGGAATGCACAGTGGGGCACAAACCATATATGGTTCTTTTTCAACGAAATAAAGTAACCTTTGAAATTAACAACATGGTTTTCTACAAAAAATTATCCTATAAAAACTACAAACATGTTACCAAATCTACATTTCATTTTATCTTTTTTTTTAGAACATTTCCTGTTTGTACGAGGGCGAGTTGAACATATTTTCCATCCCACCAAACGACAAACTAGAAGTCCTGAAACAAAATTCCGGCATCGCGCCCAGCAGCCACGAGCACTACGAGGTCATCAACATTGGAAGGACGGAAGTCCTGGCCAAAATAAAATACGGAACGACGATAAACTGGCTGGGGGACGTGGAGTCCTCCACGGTCCTCCCCGGCGAAACCAAGGTTCTAAACAACGGCGGCAAACCGTACTACGTCACAGCTTTGAAGATCTACAACAGGTCGAATAATAGAGCCATTATAGTCGCGCACACTGTACCGAACGACGTGGTGCACCAAAAGCAAAAAACCGAGGTCCCTGTTGATGAGTTGAGCGAGTTTGTCGGGGGCCCCATCGTGAGGAGTAGCGAGGTTTACATCCCCAAGCAGGGGGATAGGTTTGGGGATGTATCGCAGCATTTTTGGCCTGATAACGAAAACAGCACTTTTGAGTGCGTTAGAGAAAAGCTGGAGAAACTTTTGGACAGCAAAATATTGCAAACTGTCAACGGGATTTTGGAGGGGGATGTTAAACAAATACAAGAAAAAATTAGACATGTTGAGAGCGAGATTAACTTCAAAACCAGCAAGGCTGCCTATCACTACATGAACTTGGCTAAGGATTTGGTGGGTTTGGAGAATAAATTCGTATTTGACACTGCTCTAGCAGACAACAGAAGGATAAATCTGCACTTGCTACCTTTTTACACCCTGACAGTTTCACTGAAAATGGCCTTCTACACCTTTGGTATGACCAACGGTAAAAAAATCGGCCTAAACCCCAACGAGTTAAGTTTGTACGGGGAACGGTTATTAAAAGACCACGTCAATAACTACATCAAAAATATGTACATAGAACGTGTGAATAATGCCTATGAAATAATGGATCCCAGGATGATTTTCAACGGTATTATGAACGTAAGAACTTTTATAGCCCTAAACGGATTGGAGTTTTTGTCCATTTGGAACCAAATGGTTGAAAAACCCCACCTAACGAAACCTCCTTACATAGAAACAATCTCGTATTCGCAACTGTATGGAAGAGAAACCGGACTCATAACAAGGGAAGCCATAAGTCCAGAAATGACGCAACCTTTGACTCCAAACCTGATCAACCAAAGGCGCAACCGACTGAGGGGCGTCGAGGTGCACATATGGCGCATCAACGAAGGCACCAAGGAAGCAGGTCCTCCAAAAGTGGGCGGACTAAGACTGGTATACGAAAACAACGACGAATATCAGTTGGGGAGGTCCAGCAACGAAACCGAAAAAATCGAGTTCAACAACGGCAAGTTAATTAAGTTGACGGCTTGGGGTAACGGCGCCATAGACGGGCTGACTTTCCATTTCGATATGGGCAAAGAGGTTTTTGTCGGTACTATGGAGGAACACGGCGAACATAGCGCTTTCCAAATGGAGGGTCACCATATTGTTTCCATGATGTTGGCCAATGATTTGCCCAGCACTGGGGGGCAGGCAGTCAATATTGCCGTAGCTTACCAGCCTATCAACTAGATATATTTATGTGTTTCATGATATTATTCTTTTTAATAAAGTGTTTTTTATTCAAATAATGTTTTTTTTTATATTTCGTTTCGTTTCTTATTTAAATAAAAAAGTACAGATAAAGAATTTGAGAAAAAATCGTGTAAAATAACTATCGGATCATAAAAAAGCCTTCTTCAGTCCCTTAAGGAAACAAAAGTAGTTTAGTTTCATTTAACAATGGTTTATTGTTTAAATTATACACTTATGGAATAAAATCCGTTACCTATTCGTTGAGAAAAGATTTTTATGAAAAACGCTCAGACAAGTAAACTTTAGTTTTTTACTTTAAATCTTTGATTATAATTACCGATGCAGATTTATTTTAATTTTTTTTGTAATATACAACACAAAAAACTAAAGCATAAAGTTTATTTTTTTTATCTGGACTGCGGCAACGTTGCAAATTTAGGGTTTTGGTTGGTAAATACAGGTGTCAAGTTGGTCGCATTGATTAAAACAAACTAAGCTAGTTATAAATCTAATAGACCTATCCCATAAAACGGACTTTTGGATAGCGCGTGCGTGAAAAGGCACGTCGTCTTTTTTTAATTATATAAAAGAGAAAGAGATACCACTCTTCTTCAGGCACGCGCTATCCAAAAGTCTGTTTTATGGGATAGGTCTATTGTGGTTATTTATAAATTATTGTAGGTACAGTGTGCAGTTGTCAAGTTGAGTTGTCGAAATTCGTAGTTAAAAATGCAATTAATTTGGCTTTGGTGGTGCTTGGATGAGTAAAATCATACAAAAAAAGTAGTTAAATATAGGTTGCTTTACGGCCCAGAAGAAAAAAGATAATAATCTTCGCTTTGAAAAGAATTTATACAAAAGAAATTAAAATTTTTTTGAACGTAAATGTTGTCCAATGGTGAATAATGTGAAAATAATGTGTGATGTAATATTTATAAAACCAAATTCGTTACTTTTTTACTCCAAAAATGTCCATAAGGCGATGTACTTTTTCTTCCATTGTGGTACCATACGTATTTGGCATAATTTCATCAAAATGAAGTTTTGCCCTCAAAATGGCTTTTACATTCGAATTCGTTGCTATTATTTTTGGCATAATTATCTTTTTATTTATAATTGACAAGTAAATTATCAATAATAAATATTATTGTCAATTTGACAGTGTCAAAGTATTTAATTAAATTCTTTAGCAGAAGTACCATTTTTAAATACTAAAAATACTAAGTCAAACTGGCATAAGCCACCAACCTAACAAAAAAACACGAGTCCAGATAAAAAATAATGAACTTGTCCACTTATATAACCAACCTGATCCAGAGTTCCATGCAGTGTTATCGGGGGATCCCCCACTTTTAATCAATCTCCTACTTCCCCTACGATCGATTTACTACTACTGATACCAGAATTCCTTATAATTTCCAATTAATTTAAAAAAAAACGATTTTTTAACTATAAAACTGATTTTATTAAAATAGATAGATAGTGGGCAGTAAAAAAAAATTTGACGACCCAAAATTAAGGGCAACGCTCGTTAAATATGAATCACAATGTAGGTATCGACTAATTGGCTAATTTAACATCCTAGGGACACTTTTGTTGATTGGTTGATGACATAATGATTATAAAAACATGTCAACATACTTTGAAAAAAGTGCATAAACAATTTAATGCCGCTTCCTCTTCTAGATGCTTCCTCCTAATTGGCATTTAGAAGCAAACGTCATCTGCAAATATAAATATTAAGGAGTGCTAAATTTTTATTTTTCAGTTTTAAGGTGCAAGAAGAATAGGCAACATGGGAAAAGCGATATTCTGTGTTTTTGTGCTTCTCAGTGTATTTTCACAATACCAAGTAAGTCTTATGTTTTAATTAATCTATTTTATTTTTAAATATTTTTCCGTATATTTTTTATCAAATTTTTAATTTGTTGATATTATTTTGCATATTTTGTTTCGGCTTAGAAGTAACAAATAGTATATTATGTAGTCATTAGTCACAAACTTAATTAAATTAAAAGTTTATAAACGAGTCGCATTCCCAATAAACATTTTTGTTTTTATAGTGGTTTCCACAAATGTTATACACGGTGCTGTTCTGAGAGGTGATTTTTGGACTTTCTGTGAAACCTAATTTTTTTTTATATTCTTGTTAATTAGGTCATAACTAAAATTTTAAAAGCAAAATAAAAAAAAATTGACGGTTAATTTTGTTTTAATTGGATGTTTATTAAAAATATGTATGCACACTTTCAATTCTCCAATTAAAACTTGCGATTTTATTTAAATATTATCATAACTTTTTAAATCAGATTAAAGATTAGTTAATTTCCTAAAAAAAGGTCTATACATTTTTTATATCTTTTACTGTTTTGTTGTAATACACGTTTAAAGTTTTAATTTAAGGTTAAATGTATAGTATACATTTATTAAACAATAATTCTAAGGGTGCCACATTTTATTTAGGGCCGATTTATTCATTTTTGATTTCTTTGACGAATAATTTCTTTGGATACTAGATATTGCCAAGACATGAAAGTTATCGGCCCGATAAACTTTACTAAAGATGAATAAACCGGTCCTTAGTTAAATTTCATGAATTTCTTCGTAACTTTTACTACAATTTTTCATTTTTGTTTATAAAAAACACTTTAAAAAACTAAACAAAAATTATAGAATAAGTATACTGAAAATGACAATTCAAACATCAAATAAATTTTTAATAGATCTAAGTTTCATGGCAACCTTTAAGGATATATTAATTAAGGTAACATAAATGTATACGTCAAAGGTTAGATTAAAAGTTTGAACGTTTATTGCAACAAAACAGTATAAAAATTAAAAAAAATTGTAAAAACCTTTTTTTTAGTTATGCAAATATTAAATATTTAAATTAAATCGCTAGTTTTAATTGGATAATTGAAAGAGTGCATAATATTTTTAATAAACAGCCAATTAAAACAATTCAAACCGTCAATTTTTTTTTTTTGCTCTTAAAATTTTAGTTATGACCTAATTAACAAGAATATAAAAAAAAATTAGGTTTCACAGAAAGTCCAAAAATCACCTCTCAGAACAGCACCGTGTATATCATCCCAAATTATAAAACCTAAATTTCTTTATTTGGTTACAGAAATATTTATATCACTCTTATATACCCCTTAAAGAGCTTATTTGAGGAGTTTATGAAGGTTATCGGTACCTATTTTAGTAGCACTATAAAACCCAAGTTTTATAAGTAGAGATGACAGGAATATTATAAAAACCATAACTTTCTAAAGAACTGCTATTGATATTAATGGTATATAATTTAAATCTAAGATTTTTAACTTAATACGTAGTTTTTATTGTAAATAATACAAAATATATTTTCGAAAAACATCAAAATACCAAAACATAACTATTAAAAAATATATGAAAATATTTTTTTTAAATACATTAATATAATATCTTTCTTTTGCTTACGTTAAAGTAGTGAATTTTTTAACTTGGTTTGGTCAATTAAGTTGTTTTTGTAATACATTTTATGTAAAAAAAATCATGGCGAAAATCAACCTTAGCCCTCTTATACTGCCCATGGTAATTTTATATAACCTTAGGTACTAGTTCAGTTTTATAGGACTATCTAAGTTACTTAAAGTGTTATTATATAATTTTGAAACTCTTATATACATCGTAGTAACTGTCGTTACTACAAGTGATGTTATAAAACTTTTGATAGGCAACCATCTAACCGCCCAGGTTGGTGTCAGGTTCGCCATTTTTGACTGGAGTAATAATGGTTTTAACGCAATGGAATCAATTTATTTCACTAAACATTTGATTTAATCTATTTTTAAAATATTTATGTTAATAATATTATATTACTTAAATATTCTATGCTAAATATTTTCTTTTCAATACTATGCTTAATTTCTGTATCAAATACTAAACATTTTAGGTTTATTAAGCACTTAAATAATTAATAACACAATTTGTATTATAAAAAATTAAAGACACAATAGTTTTATAAAACAGGTAACCGCAAACTTTATAAATCTTCTTTATAAACCTACTTGCAACGGTTACTGAAGTTTTATAAAATGTTTGTAAAAACAATTATATAACCTAAATATATTCAAAACAGTTTTGAAATTTTAGCACCTAAGACTTATAATAGGTACTTTAATATCTATTCCACTTGTGATAATATAGTCAATTTTAAAAAACAACTTAAAACCATGCTTGAACAGTTATTATTATTATAGCTATAGCTAATTCTATGGTTTAGGTGGAAGAACAACTTTTGTTGAACCTAGACCCTTTGTGAATGTAAATGTATACAAGCGTTGTGTATATTTTTTTTGCAATAAAGTTTATTATTATATACCTAGAGTTTACAGTAACCTTATATGACCATTATAAAACTAGTAAACTCAATGGCGATTTTATAAAACCATATTAAACTCTTATCGTTACCATGAGAAGTACAAATTGTTTATTTGGCTTATATCTTGATTTATTTTAAGGTTTTTGGTACTCAGTCCGCTTCAAACATATTCGAAGTGGCTCCAAACACAAAAATAACGATCCTGCAGCAAAACTCCGGGCTTTTTCCGTCCTCCCAGGAACACTACCTGATCAAAAACATCGGTACCACTGAAGTGTCCGCCAAAATAAAATACGGAACGTTGGTGAACTGGTTTGGAGACGTGGTGGAGGTGCAACTTAAACCTAGAGACATCAAAATTTTGAACAACGGCGATAAACCCTACTACGTGACGGCCTTGAAGGTTTCCAACAAAAGTAACAGCACAGCTGTGGTTTGTGCCTACAAGACGCTGAACACTGAGATTGTGGGAAATCTACCCGGGTGCTAGGTGGTTTTATTGTTTTTTTTAATATTATTTAAATTTATATTTTGTCATTATTGTTGAGTTTAGTTTTTTTAATGATTAAATAAATAGTTAATTTTTTACTTTGTTTATTATTTATTGTTCAAAATATAATTAATTGTTTTAAAACTTGTTGTTTTATAACGCGCTTCTATTATAATAAAATTAGTTTTAAAAGTTACTTCACATTTGTTTGAAACGTTCTTGTTATTTTTTGTATAATTTAACTAACAAAAGAAACTTAACTTTACTAGCATGTTGGTTCATAATGAAGGCAATATCCCTGATTTGAAAAAAAAATGGGGGATGGTCTTCAACATCTTCTGCTGAGGGTTATATAGGAGAAAGCATTCAAAATAAAATTCAAACATCGAAGAAAATTTTTAGAGGCTCCAATCAACAGAAAGCTTCAAAGGATGACTCTTGGCAGCACTTATCCTCATCAAGTTCAATATCATGGATGTTTCATTAAACGAATTTTCCAAAAGTACAAATGGCATGTCATTCCAAAAGATATCTAATTGTGCATTTAATATTTATGAAGATAAAAATGTCAGATTTGTTTGTATGGTTGTATTGCTAACGAGTCAAATGTTGCTAACTATTAAAGTGTTGCTATAGTTAAAAATGAATAAAATTTTTGTTAAAAATAATGCTTGTTAAATAAAATATGTAAAAATTTACATAAACTCCCTAGTTTTATAAATTAAATGATATATGGGTGATTCTACAAAAGTTGAACAACTTGATGTCATCAGTCAATAGAGTAGGTATTTTAATATTTTTTGCAAATATTTTAGTATATTACAAAAGATCCAGGTTTTTTTAACTTGTCCACCCAATTTTAATGTATTTTTTCAAAAGCACGTTTGTAGAAAAACATAATAAATATTCAAAACATCAGTACCTTGGCGTGTCACAACTCCTGAATCAAATATTTGAGTGATTTTATTTTAAAATATATTCAATTTATCTTAAATTTTTCAATTTCACTACAAACTATAAAACATTAAATAATGTATTTTTCATATTTTATCATAAATTCGAATAATAGCAATTTTTTAAAAATTGATCATCTTTATACTCACTTTTACCCGTCAGTTCTGTGTCCAATGTTAAAATTCAAAATTCCTGCGAAATATTGAAGTTTAAACGTATATATATTTCATTGTAATTTATATAAGGCTATATGTGATTTGTTGATAAGTAGCATCCACTAATAAAAAATATCAGTAAAATACTTAATTCCGAATTATAATCTCAAATTTGTATCCCATTCATCAGTACCGTGTCGTCAGTTCCATGTTCGATGTTTCGGTTATCTTTTTTTCGCAAACTTCAATTAAAATTCTGCAGAACTTGTTTATTTAATGTCATTATAAACTCATATAAATTTGGTGTGGGCCCCATTTCTAATAATTGAGATATCGGTATACCCAAAATCCACCAGCTGCCACTGATGAGTGGTATAATTTGATTTTAAGATATTTATTGTATAATATGCTCAAAGTTGCAATAAATCTTATATTTTCCAATAAATTATGCATTTAATTAGTACCCTGGTATACTCGTCACTTCCCTTGCATTCAAATTTAGAAAACACAGATATTTCAAAAACTGTTTGAAATAGTGACTGGCCCGATCTGGAACAATATACATATTTATTATATAATCTAGGTTCTCATAACAAAATACTGTTTAATTTTCTCCGAAAACTATATAAACAAAATGAGGTCAAAAGTTGCCCAACTTTTGTAGAATCACCCATATAAATGAGTAAATATTGTGTTTTTTAATAAAATGATAATTAATTGTGGAAATTTGTTAAAAATTATTAATCAATATTTTAAATAGCAAAAAGTAATACGGATTTGTATGCATCCAAAAGTTTCGGTCCATGGGGGTGCGGTTAGTTCTCACCACCCTGTATATTTATACATGTGGTGCCGTGTATGCGTGCAGGAGGCGTACCGTCCGTGATTGTATACGCCGGCCTGCTCTGACCTAAGACCTCTCGCGATGAGAAACTCTCCACTCCGCTCTCTCTAACCCGATATCTGCGCTGATACCATCTACGGATGGTCGAGAAAAAATGATTTATAGAGGAAAATACGGGGAATATTCAAAATTAGGTTTAAATAATTTTTTCCACTCCCACCTTTAAAACGCCCATTACCGTACATGTTTTCATGGCACAAAGTGACCTTTTAAATACGCATTGGCAAGTTGTGGCTTTGTGGCGCTTTAGTCACGGGCTGAAGTTAGTTTTAAGTTAGTGAATAGTATATTAAAGAATTAATTTCATAAGATGTCATTTTGTAATGGTCGAGTGCGACAAAAGGTCTTATGACATGAGTTCTTTATGTTATTTTAACAATTTTGCAAACATTCTATAAAAAAAATTAAAAATTTAATTTAATTTGGTCGAATTTTACTTTAGATAGTTGGTATCACAGTCATTGGTTTGACAGTTAATGTCAAAACCAAATTGCCATGCCGTCCTTAATTTACTTATTTACAATAAGCGGCTGTTAATGTTAAAGAAGAAAAAAAAGGATTTTCTTTGGTGTTAAACAAAATTTATTGCCAAAAAAATCACAAAAATATTATAACCAATATGCAAAATATTATGATGTTTAAAGTATAGCCGAGAGCGGGGTTATAATGAAGTCATTATGAACGCAAAATAGATAAAATTATTTTATTATTTCAAAAATACAAAAGTCTTGAATAGTTTCTTAACGCCATTATTATTATTTAAAATTTTTGCGTACAGTGCCCATAAAACATTCTCTTCAATTTTACTGTAAAAAACAGTTTCTATATCGATTGTTACTTTATTTTTAAGGGATAAATTTTGATTTACAGACAAATTTGAGATTTGAACGCCGGTAGATTCCCAAGTTAGAAATTCTAACGGGAATTCCAATAAATACAACTGTCACTTTTTGTACCTTTATCATTTCCCGTGTAAGAATTTTTAATACTTGGTGATAATATTTTGCAATTATTGTAATAAAAAAATCAAAGAATAAAATATGTTCTTAACCTAATCATATTTTAAAGTAACAATAATTGTTAAGTTAATTTAAAATTTATAACGGGCAATGTTATTAGTGAAAATTACGTCAAAAATGTTTAATGGAATTTATACAAATATTTGTCGTAAAAGAAGTATAGTATGCAACTCTGTATAAACCGTTTGATTTTGCCGGCAGTAAACTAGCATGTTCCGATAAAGCAATAAAAATTTCAGGTGGATTACCCATAAAACATCCTCTTCACTTTCACTGTAAAAAACTGCTTTTTTATCAGATTGGAGCGGTTGTTAGTCCATTTTTAAGAAAGAAATTTTGATTATTACAAAAAAAATTGACAAAATAACGCAGCCATTTTGAAAGCAGGTAAAACAGATTCCTGATACCATAATGGTTACTCTATTTTTGTAGAGATGTCGCTTTATACAAATCGTCACCAAATTCACGAAGTGGCGTATATGAAGATTTAAGTTATGCAAAAAAGCAATTTTTTGAAATAAAAGTTTAGCATACTAAACACTTATTCCAGAAATTTGCTTTTTTGCATAACACAAATCTTCCGATACGGGTGTTTGAAGTTTTGTGTTATGCAAAAAAACCAATTTTCTGGAATAAACGTTTAAAATGCTAAACGTTTATTTCAGAAAATTGCTTTTTTGTATAACTTAAATCTTCATATACGCCACTTCGTGAATTTGGGGACGAAATATTTAAATTAATATAATTTTTGTCGTATTTAAAGTATGAAACTCGTTTAACTTTTCTAGACACTCATTTTATTAAACACCCGCAAACTTAATATTTATTTATTATAAATTGTAATTAGGCCCAAACACACCTGTTGCGTGGAATTTTCGATTGTTATCTCATCGGTATTTGCTTGGCACATCCCACATAATATTATTATCGAGCACGATCGCCATTAACAAAAGATAACATCAAAATTGCGGAACAATTTTCGGCAATAAAAATTTATAAACGAAAAATGTTATAATAAAAAACGGTGTCAAAAGGTCCGATTAGCAAGTGTTGTTTGTAGCTGTAAATTTGTACCTAATTAAAATCTACATTAAATAAAAGAAACTTAACTAGAAAAATTTATTGTCATAAACATTGTTCTTTCGTTAATTTATACATTTTAATTGATAATGATAAAAGTAATTATAAATAATAATTTTATCTATTTTGCGTACAAAATGACTTCATTATAACACCGCTTTCGGTGCTGTAATGAGATACTTTATCCCACCCAAAATTTTGATTTTATAGGTTGGCTATACTTTAAACAAATGAACAAAATATTTTGCATAATTGCTTATAATATTTTTATGATTTTTCTAGTACCTACTTACGAGACTTTCTAGCAATAAATTTTATTTAACAACAAACAAATTCCTTTTTTTCTTCTTTAACATTAACAGCCGCTTATTGTAAATAAGTAAATTAAGGACGGCATGGCGAATCGATTTTGACATTAACTGTCAAACCAATGACTGTGATACCAACTATCTAAAGTAAAATTCGACCAAATTAAATTTAAGGTATAAATTTAATTTTTTTATAGAATTTTTGCAAAATAGATAAAATAGCATAAAAAACTCATGTCGCACTCGTTCATTAAATTGTCCGCGTGCGACAAAATGACGTCTTATGACATTAGTTCTTTAATATACTATTATAACTTTATTTTAACGATTGTATGACATTTGACAACTGTTAATTTAAAACTTACTTCAGCCCGTGACTAAAAGGCAATTAGTATCATGGAAACATGTACGATAATGTTCGTTTTAATGGTGGGAGTAGAAAAAATAATTTTATTAGATTACGCTCAATGTGGTTGGTTAGATGTTGGTTTATTAATCCGATGTTAATTTGTTATGTATCAAATTATTTGTTCCTTTTTTTGTTTTGATGTTGATATATTGCATCTAAAGTCACGATGTGTTTAATGTAGGAATCGCGGGACAGATCCGAACTAAAAATATTGTTTTTCCAATCCTTTTTTTGTGCTAAAAAACGTTTTCTTCATTCAAAAAAAAATATGTAAACAAAGTTTCTGATTTAGATTAAGAAACATTACTCTTGGCCCTATTCAAAAGCTCAAAT